TCATTCCACAATTCTTGTTTAAAATCGCAATAAACGATATTCTAGAGGCATAAAGCATATCGTGGTGGTGTATTGTTTCTGTCAAAAAGAATACATATTTATTTTAAGAGCGAAGCGTTGAACGTCTTGTTTTTTTCACGAAATCTAGATTGCTTATATTATTCTTTATAAGTTGACTATCACCATTCGTGTATGTTATATGTAAGCTGCACCTACTATATATTAGAAACTCTGAAAGTTCTCAGAAATCTGTAGACTTATTCATCATTATGGATAAGTTTATAGATATCGAAATTTCAACATAATTGAAGTGTAAGGTTAGTACTTCTGAACACAGTGTCTGATGATAAATGATCAAGTGGTTTATATAGCTTTGGTCTACTTTGATACTGTTGTATATCACGGATCCATTTAATTAATTGAGGATTATATAAAACACTGAATCTCTTTAATGTGAACTACTGAATAGAAGAGATGTTGATACGAAGTTTATCAAAAAAAATTCTTGGAAATGTTTACGTTAAAAAGTCGTTTTTTCATTTAATCCACATTAAATTGCATGGACAATAAAAAATTATATATATATATATATATATATATATATATATATATATATATATATATATATATATATATATATATATATATATCACTTTTCATTCTTCTGCTTTCACTGGATTATTTTCGTTAACCAGAGACACTTCTTGGCACATACATAATAATCCTTAATAAATACACTGTTTACTTGCTTAATTAATCTAAATTAATCAAGTTTAAACATAATTTTAACAAGAATTACTTGATTTCGATAATGCAATCAGAAGACAAAGGTTATCAGGATTATCCTATACTTATTTCATTTTTTTGCATTGTTTGCTTGAATCAAACAATACGAGTTTCGAGTCCCACAGTGAGCATCAACTCTAGAATGCATGTATATCCAGCTGACGAGTCTCAAATAGGCGGAATCGTGCGTTCTGAATTCCACTGCTAGCCACCATCCATCTTTGCTTAAAAAATATACTTGGAGTTTTTAGAGTTCTTATGTGAAAATAATTTAAATATTGATTATGAACTATAAGACGGGATAAACGTAATCATATAATTCATTCGTCTAAACAAATTTAGTATCTTAAGTCAATTTAAGCATATAAATGGGGTTTATTGTATATTATTTTTATTAATAATATCATCAAAAGTATTTGCCTATCTTGCTATTAAATGACTAGAGAATTTTGTATACAAATTATTTTATTTTATAAGAAATCATCAGTGAAAATTTCACTCCACTTTTGATGTAAACTTTTCACTTTATCTTTTATCAAAAATGTTCTGAAAAGGAATAACATCAGGTCTTTTACTGAATGATTGGATGTGACCTAAATTAATGAAAATATTTTTGTCTCTTTTGTTATTGTTGTAACACTGAGGACTTTTTTTGTTCTAACAGGAAACAGATTTTAACTAGTGTTATAGAAAAAAATTTAGTTATTAAACATGCCGAATACACACCTTGAAAATTAGATTAACTCATTGACATTTCCTTCATTTTTAAAAAAACGTAGTCCTATTTTTTTTAACATGAATGCATATTTTACAAACATTTCTTCCCATTTTTGTGTTATCTATGTAAATGGTAAGTTTGGCAAACGACATAGAAATGTAAATGTGTATATATATATAGGTAATTTTATCTAACTCCTTGATTTTATTTCAGATGGAGTAGACAAGGTTTTAATTGTACGTGTAATATTTATTTATTCATTTGAAGTGAAATACTGTTTACATAAGTTGAGATTTTAGAGAAATATTTTCTATTTTCTAAAATGTATAACTGAACATAAACTTAGATCGGATAATTGAAATGATTAAAGGCCTAACAGCTCTGAGTTACACTACCGTAAGGAAAGAACAGCTTCTGTTGGAAACACAGTTTCATTTATTATGGTTATAGATTATAAAGCCTGAACAATAACTTAGTGTGGTTTTTTTCATAGGAGAAATGTCAATATCACATTATGACAATGTGTCAGGAAGCTTTTAGCATTCATACAATTATTTACAATGGGTAACTCAAAAATACTCCTACATATATTATATGAGATAATTGACCATCATTTTTCCTAACTTGCAGAAAATTTACTTAATTTTCTTTATAAGCGTGGAATTTTCCTTATACTTCATTTATCATGACATAATTGATCAGTTCGGTAAAAGCTAAACTAAAACCGAAATTCAAATTTAATTCTTCCAAAACGAGATACATTTTTGAAAGTATCAGAAACTAAGTAATTTGATTGACTTCGTTACTTATTTCCGTTATTAAACCACACTTTATATTTGGTGATAAAGTTCTTTGTTGGATTAACTCATTGAAATGATTATATATATAATCCTTCAATCAAATGCTAAGTTTAGCTATTGGTTTAGAAAATAATTCAAAATACCATCTTGTATGTTGCCATTCTGAACTGTGTAGTTCACTTATTGATGTATTATTAGAAACTTCAGTTTACCAAAGAATATGATCTTATAGCAAAGGATTCTAACTAAAAATAATAATCACACTACATACAATTTTCTGTGTGGCCGAGAATCAGTAGTAGGCAGGTGGTCATCCGACACGTTAACCTTTGACCAAAAAGCCTGTTTGATATGGATACTAAATGATCAAAATTTAGCAAAGTTGACATATACATAAACTACATATCGTATTTAGACAAATATACATTTTTATATTCCTTTAACTCTTTCTTATGATCTCAATTAAGTTTACATAATTCTTGTTTTTAACTGATAAATCTGACAGTCAGTCAGCAGTCAGTCAGCTACAACGTAGGACCAGGCACATATGTGCATCGGTCCAGGTTGCCATACCGCATCAGCACAACAAAATGAACACCGGATTCATAGCAGTGGTTAGGTCAAAGGTAGTAATATGTAAGAGAAAGATTGCATATAGAGATATAGTACAAGAAGAAAGAATTGGTTCGTAGAAAGAAAGATATGAAGCGATTTTAATCTCTTAGTTTAAGGGAAGACAGGGAGTGTATACACCGACGCCATTGTGATCGATTCTGAGCCATGTCACCAAGAGTCTCGAACCATTGGTTACGATAGTCAAGCGGACCCCAACCAAGTAGTCTGCATCTACAAACATGGCTCAGACTAGAAGTTAGTGGCTTCAAGCACTGATGCCACGTTTTGGTTTGGCCGCCCCTAACTTTCTTCCAACCATCTCCAATACCGGATAGCATTGCACGTCGTGGTAATCGGTATTCAGGCATACGTAACACGTGGCCCAACCATCTCAGTCGATGAAGATTCATAACCTCATCAACTGATTTACCATCATTCCTCAATACCCTGCGTCTAACCTCACTATTACTTACCCGGTGATCCCAGCAGACGCCAGCAATATTTCTAAGGCATCTGTGGTCAAATACTAGTAGCTTACGAGTGTCTTCTACTCTTAATGGCCATGTTTCGCTGCCGTAAATTAAAACAGAACGGACTGCCGCGCAGTATACTCGTCCTTTTATTGATGGACGGATATCTCGCCTTCGCCATAGGTGGTGCAAGTTGGCAAAAGCCAATCGAGCTTTTCGAATCCGTGCTGAGATTTCGTCCGATACCAACCCATTAGGGCTGATCAGACTTCCAACGTAAGTGAAGTTGTCAACGCGTTCGACTACTTCACTCCCTATCCTTAGTTCAGGTGTTAACGCAGACCAGTCCTGAAGCAACAACTTGCATTTAGAGGGAGAGAAGCGCATTCCAAACATTCTGGCATTGTTGCTCAGTGCTACCAGAAGACTCTGCATTTTCTCAGCGTCTTCACCAAACAGGACTATGTCATCTGCGTATTCTAAGTCGATAAGTGGACCTCCTGGTAGGAGATCAATACCCGAGAACTCAGTCGACGAGAAAGTTATTTCCATCAGTAGATCTATGATGAAGTTAAACAAAAATGGGGAAAGTGATAAATCTGACAAGCCCTTATAACTATGAGTTTTGACAATTTGCTCAGAAATATAGTTTCAATGAGAATTTTGTCACATTGGTACATGTGTTCGAGAATATTGACCTTTCTAATATGATTGATTTTATTTCAATTTCGTTTCCGATGTACATAATCGAAGTTTCATTTATACAAAATTACATATTTTAGAAAAACTCCACAAGTGACAAATCAATTAATACTAACGACCCAATTAGTCGTTGATAATCTTCAACAGCTTTGAAAACACAAATAAGAATGATAATAAAACTGAATTTGAAATTATCCGAAAACTTACTGAAAATTTAGAATGCAATAACTTATCACTTAGAAAAAATTCTACCAAGTACATAATTTGTTGGAAAAATCAAGTTTCAATAACATTGAAAGCAAAGATGAATAGTGACCAGCAGTGAGATCCAGGACGCGCATTTCGTCCTATTTGGGACTCATCTGCCGAATGTACCTGCATCTCAGAGTTGATTTTCACTCTGGAACTCGCTTTAAACGTCATCTCGTTATCAACTTAGCTACTGAATCCTAATAACCACTTGTTTGTGCAGTGTGGTGAATTTTAAATTAACATGGTACTGTTTACTTGAATCTTACCATTGTTGTTCAGTCTCTTATCGGCATATGTATGTACCGTGTGTATTACATCAATATCACTTCAATTTACTAGCGTTATAAACAAAAATAGATCATGGCTAGCAGTGGAATACAGGACGCGCAATATTGAAACAATACGCACAGTATACACATATGCCAATAAGAGATCAATCATTTGCAATCCTAAACATCAATGAGAAGATTCAAGTAAACAATATCAAATGAATTTCAATAACATTATTCATAGAATGCAATAACACTTGATTCTAGGCATTATTTAACTTTCTCTCATTGAATACTGATTTTTTTTAAGGCTATATATATGTTAGTTTCTTTTTCAAATTCTACTCATTATCTTTAATCAATATAATTTTCTTTTCTTGTTTTACAGAGTACTTCTCATGAACAAATTAATTCACAATTACCAATAAAAACAAAACATTCACATATAAAAAATCATCGAAATATTAAAAATAATGAAAATAATTATCAATGGGTTATTAATCCAATTCATAAGAAATCACAACATGAACTAGATCAAATTCCAATAATCAATAATAATAATAATATCAGTTATCATGATTATTCTTTAAATCGATTAAATATTGAAAAGCATAAATCTCGATCAAAATCAAAAATTTTAGAGAAAAGTGAAACATTAGACATGGAAACTAGTAAGGATATATTTGCTAGATCAGTTTCTGCGCATCCAATTCTAATGAATACACCACAATTACCACCAAAAATTTATAAAGTTAGTTGTTAAAATATGATTGTTTGTTTATTTTTCAAAATATCTATTTGTTAATAATGATATGGAGAATTGAAAAGTGATAGTCAATTTTTTTATAGGAAATTAATCAGAAGACGGTATGCTACAGTCCTGAGATATCTAGTAATGTAAGAAAAAAAAATTAATTGATAGGATTCCTTTACTTTTATGTAGTCATTCGGTCATTCATTTAGTTAATTATAGAAAAGCTGCTATCGTGTGCAAATGCCAATCAGTATGGATTGAATGTATGGGAACTTTGCCGTATCGTCGTCAGTTAAATGGGCAAGCGGAAAGATTTATTCATATTCTTTAGCGATATCTCTTAAAGATTGGGTGAAGAAGATAACGTAAACAAACTCTCCAGCAGTTGCTGATTTCTTATAGAATTACACCTAGCCTAAACTGTCAAGACAGAAAATCACCAGCTGAAACAATATTTGGATAACCAATTAGGATGTTTTTTGATGTTTTGAACCTTGAAGACAGAACGAGTGGAGTAAAAAAAATAAGAAAGGAAATTGTCAGAGAATTCGAGAATTTAAAGCAGTTGACTTAGTTTATGCACATGATTTTCGGCTAGAAAAGCCAAAATCGATATTTGGGTGTATAAAAAATAGACGTGTGAAGGTATCGTATGGAGTGGTGGTTGAAAATGCACTAGTTATTAGTATATAAATCAACTGCGAGCTAGGAAAAACGGTGAGTTATCTTAAGCCAAACTTTTTCCAATGGAAATTTGCGATAAGTTTGTTCATTTTTTGGTGTGGAAATATACTTATGTTCTAGTCAGGCTAGTCACGTGTTCTTGATTTGTGTTGATGTTCTGTCGAATAGACACTGGGAGGGTATCTAGTGTAGATATTCGTCTTAGGCAAATTAACGTCCTATACGTGTAGATGAGGAAACCTGGCGTTATAGCAATGTGTGTACAATCTTTGGTCATGCCAAGTTTTTTGGTAACTATCAGTAACAATGCCAGTATGTTTCGAAACGCGTCGACAACTTCACTTACGTTGGAAGTCTGATCAGCCCTAATGGGTTGGTGTCTGACGAAATCTCTGCACGGATTCAGAAAGCTCGTTCGGCTTTTACCAACTTACGTCACCTATGGTGAAGGTGAGAAATCAAATAAGGGACGAGTATACTGCGCGGTAGTTCGTTCTGTTCTACTTTACGGTTACGAAACATGACCATTAAGAGTAGAAGAAATTCGTAAGCCACTAGTATTTGACCACAGATGCCTTAGAAATATTGCTGGCATCTGCTAGGATCACAGGGTATGTGATAGTGAGGTTAGACGTAGGGTATTAGGGAATGATGGTAAATCAGTTGATGAGGTTGTAAATCTTCATCGACTGAGATGAATGGGCCACATGTTACGTATGCCTGAATACCGATTACCACGACGCGCAATGCTGTCTAGTGTTGGGGATGGTCGGAAGAAAATTAGGGGCGGCCAAACCAAAACGTGGCATCAGTGCTTGAAGCCACTAACTTCTAGTCTGAGCCATGTTGATAGATGCAGACTACTTGGTTGGGGTCCGCGTGATTATCGTAGCCAATGGTTGGAGACTCTTGGTGACATGGCTCAGGAACGATCACAATGGCGTCGGTGCATACATTTTCTGTCTTCTCTTAAACTATGAGATTGAAATCGCTTCATATCTTTCTATGAGCTAATTCTTTCTTCTTGTACTATATCCTTATATGCAATCTTTCTTTTATATATTACTACTATTGAAGTGACTACTTCTATGCATTCGGTGTTCATCTTGCTGTGTTAATGCAGTATGGCAACTTGGACCGATGCACATATGTGCCTGGTCCTACGTTGTAGCTGACTAACTGATGTTTTAAAACCGAATTAATAACCTGAATGCTTTCTTATTAACTCATTTACCAGGTATACATTCATGTGTTTGGCTTCTAACTATTCTCTAAGCATGAGCGGTTATGGTACTACGTGACAGCGAAAACCGCTGTAGGTAGATTGGGTTTCAATCTTGTTACCACTAACCACTAAGCAATCGCTACATAATTTATTAACAGCAGTGAGCCACAGTGAAAGGAATTACACTTAACAGTTATGTAACCATATTTAAATGAACCTTTCATAATGATTATGAAGGGTCTCCATGATTTCCTGAATCTCAATATATTTACTAACGTTTTAGAGTGTAAGAACAAAGTATTACCAGCCGGATGCTTATCAAACGATTACTAATCAATCAAAATTATCACTTGTCAATTCAAGGGAACACACTTCACCTTTGTACAGTTCAAATAATCCTATAATTTCAAACAAAATATCTTCACAAATGGAAGTCAATCAGATTGATCACAGTTCGTCTATCAGTAATTCTCATTCATACGGTAAAGATATAAATTTAATCAATGATACAAATCGTAATAATTCCGATCAAACTATTTCACATTATTGCGCTCGTCGTAGACATTGTCGCGTAAGAAAACACAAGGCATTGGATGGTAATGATAAACGAAATTTCGACGTAAAGTCAATGAAAAGTTCTACATCCGATAAAACACATAGTAATAAACTACGTAACGATACAACTTCTAATACATCATCCGGCTTTAGCAGTCATAATCTTAATTCTATTGGAGTTAATTCAACTGATAACTTAAACTCAGTTTATGATATTTCTATAAATCAAACAATTAATTCACATGAAAATATTAATTTTGAGGACAAACAATCAGGATATTATAATACTCCTAGAAATTTAAATGAAACGAAAAAGTTAAAAGTAAGTTCGAACTCATTTACTTACTTGCACTTTTTGCCACTCGAGGAGTTCATGTTTAATCATTAATAGTATTTCATATATATAATATGTGCTTTTCAAAATTTCAAAGGTTATAAGAAATTTTTCCAGGCTGAAGCAAGCTTTCTTCTACTTCATTTCTCAGAAGTCACTAACCTAAATCTCTAGTTCATATGTTAGGAGACTTCCTGGTGTAATTATAGGATCTTGTCAAATGTTTTTATCGCGGATTGATGTTATTTGAAATGTAAGCAAAAACTAGTGTTTAACCTCTCAAAAGAACACAGTTAGAACTATGTACTGTTGGGCATCATCCCAATGATTCTCCTCCAAACTCGCAAGTACTGGGTTCGACCTCTAGAGGAGTTATGCGTAAACACTGCTGAGGAATTTCATACTAAGATGTAACGGCTCACTAGTGATCTCTGATATTCAGTAGCATGTCAGCTGAGATCGATTTGTGAAGAATACCTTCTACGAAGTAAAATAATTATCAAAAAAATCACTTCTTCTAAATCACATTTCGTTATGTTTTGAAGTATCATTGTTTGTAGAGTTTTCTGTAATACTTTATTCATTTTAAAAAATATCAAATTTTTTAAACTGTTAATAAATCGTTATTTTTGAATACTCAATGGAATTTAGATAAACAGTCAGAAATTTCCTACTCTATCAAATCAAATGGATAGTATACCACAAAATATCAATATGTCAGGAACATCATCTAAAATTAAATATCCAATTTCAAATGTAACTATAAAAAAGTCACCTACTGATATTCAATTATCTAATCCATACACCAGAGAGAGATTAAATGAACATCAATCCAGATCACAATATCCTATTCAAATATATTTTGAAAATAACAATACTACAAATAATAATAGTGTTATTCATCATATTAAACATGACAGAAATGAGAATGTAGATAATTTATTGAATAATGATTATGGATGTGTGGATATATTACCTGGTACAAATAGAAAAGCTTTACGACGATCAAATAGCTCCAGTAATGCTTTAACTTTTCATCCGCAACAGTTAACTGTCAACAGAGTTAACAATGAACATGATGATTATTGTTTTACAGGTACACTACTAACAAAACATTCACAAATTCCACCATTAGCATTTAAGCAGGGAACTAATAATAATGAGATTATCACAAAAATCAATCATAATAACATTGTCATTAATAACGATCATAATTTTAGTAATGATGGTGGAGTTGATACAAAAGCATTTTATTCAAAATTAGATATTCATCGATTGAGAAATAATGCTCTGTCACCAACCAAACAATATCCATTGAATCGATCAAATTTTCTTGTACATCCAACCGTAAATCAACAGTTTATTGAGCCATTTCAATCGAACAAAATGATTAATACTGTAATTAATGAAAATACATTCTGTTTATTAAACGCTGAAGAGGTGAGTTAAATTATTGGTGTGTTCTAGCATATTATTATTACTGAAGGTATAGTATATACTAGTTATGTTGACAGATTTAATTCGTATATAGCACTAGTCGGAAATGGATTACCTGGCAGCAGAAGATTGTGAAGATTGAATTGACGAAAAAGGAGAATGCAACAGAGACTAATTGTAATAACAACAGGAATGACGGAACGACGAAGTTTGTAAGAGATAACTGAAGGAAGAAGTGCAAATGAAGTATTAAATGTATGATTTTCATACTTTACGAAGATAATCTATAGTTTTGCATTGAACAATTAATTTGTCTTTCTCACTTAAATGTCCGTTCACTACAATGTACGACTAAAAATTATTTACAACGGGTGAAATAGATGTTTAAAGTAAGTAAAATTCATCGATCGTATATTAGTAACCAATATCAGTTTTATCGAGTGAATAGTAATGATTGCATTTTGAAGATTAAGTTCTAGTGAAATCTCTGGTTTAAATATCACAACATAAAGTGTACTATTTTATGATGTAAGTTAACTGGAGGCGATTTAGATAAAAAGCTGATCCTAGATTTCATAACAGTTAAGGGTGATCAATCAGTGATCAGTGATTTGTAATATCTCACATACTCAAGATATCAGTCATTCGACATATAACTTAACCTTCCTGATTATTTGACTATCGTTCAAACCACATGGAAGATATTAGTCTTCTAATGGTTCCTGAAATGTGCTACTGAAAGGTACCAGCTAACACACAACACTGGTTTGAGCTTCATGTCGGTTGACGATAACCACCTGATACTAAGGATGTTATTATTAATATTCCGTGTAAAAATAGTTAAACTATTAAACTTATGCTAATACATGTTCTGTTTAAAACTTTGAGTTGAAATGTACTGACCTGATGGCAAAACAGTTTCTAATATATGGTTTGTAAGTTTCAGAATCATAGACTACTATATCAGTCTAATTTACGGATGTAATGATATACTTGGGCACTTATCTTCTCCAGTTCTCGAAGTAATCAAATATGTAATTATAATTTTAAATAATGGATAAGATTTTCAGCTTATTTTAGTACTTCTATTGGTACCATGTTCCTTAAGCTAGACAGTTTACATATAATATTAAACATTTAGAAATTTTCATGCACTCTTAAAATTCCATCTATCCAGTATTTTGACATTTGCTAAACCATTCGTTTCTAAACATCAAATGAAACCTTCAATTATCAGTGAATTATCATTATGACAAATAGAGACATTGTAGAGAAGTCGATCGAACGATCAACTTAGATTTCATTCCTGTAGGCCATTACTATTGTAAAACAATACCGAAAGAATAAGTGATATGATATTAAACTCATGTGGTAGTAATACCATAAGAATTGGCAATAAATACCATCTTTTTCCCTCCCTAGTATATTATTTACAGGGATGCCGTAATACCAAAAATTATCAACTGACAGCTAACTGTGAAGAAGTATACTTTAGCCAAAATACAACTCCTTAAATGCAAATCTAACCAACTTTAAATTATGATAGAAAAATAATTTTTTATGGTTTAAAATCCAGAACTGATCTCAGCAAGACCTGGATCGTAAATCGGATAGCAATAGACTTCGATGAACCCGCACCCAGGAACTCGGGACATTTCAGGAAACCATTTACTTATTGTATGAGAGCTTGTTGGTCGATATTTTATGTATTTATTTATTCAAAGTGCAACAGGATTTTCGTCTAGTACATCGTGCTCTCCATGAACCTTTACTACTCATAATTCTTGAATTAGAACAGAAAGATAATTTTATTCACTTTGACATTCAATGGTTTATTAAAATAATGATTACTGAGATTCCATAGAAATATTCACAAATTTACTTTAATAAATAAATATGTAATGTGATAAAGCATTATTCTCTTTTTCTATCTCCGTAATCAATGAAATGTGAATGAATATGATCGAAAATCGATACCAGTTATAGTTTCTGTTTTTTTTTCTCAAGAGAAAATACAACCGAAATGTCTTCAATTTAGATTAATTATTGTCACAAAATCAACAATACACTGATAGAAATATGCATTTTTCTGCACGCCTGATAAATACTACGATGATTTCTAATTTAAGTAATTAATGTGTTCCCTTGTCATGGTTATCAGTTTAATCGACAACCAAAAAAAGGAATAAAAATAAAAATAAATCAAGTTGAGTTATTGATGTTATAATCTAGTCATGAAGAAAACGATCTTGATAAGTATTTAATCATTCATTTTAAGAGCACAGTAGATTTGTCTCCGATTTTAATGAGATAGTTTAACCTATTTCGGATTAGATTCACTTTACTAGGTAATAACGAATTGCAATGTCTGAAATCAGGTGACTAGAGAAGATAATTCAAATAAATCTGCAAACAATGAAAACACATGGACAATAACTGAATAAAATTCAGCCTGGGCTTATGGAAACGGTTAAATTTGATTGAAATTATGAACCGATCTAATTTTGACCATTTTTGAAAACTCTGCGTGCACTGGATTCGATTCACGCGTCCGGGATCGTGGTGCGCACTGCCAAAGTTTCCTATATTAGGAAGAAACGGCCGACCAGTTCTTCCAGGTTTTCAATGGTAGCCTAAATCAGATCATCTCATTATTTCAAACAAATTAAAATTCACGCTAATTGAAGAATCCGTTAGTTAGTCGTAGAGAAATTTCTAATGCTCACTTCATCTTAAAGTACATGCTGATGATATTGATCAGAAATATGATGAAAGCTTTACAATTTAACTATTTGGGTCAGAGAAGGCGAAACCTCTAAGCTACTTTATCCGAATCACAGATCGTTAGCATCATCTTGAATTTAATAATCGTCTGATAAAAAAATTGATTTGTAAACATGCCTGAGTGACTTAATTATCCAAACTGATAAATTACACACGGAATTAACCCCTAAATCCGTAATGAATACATTCCAGAATGCTAAGTCATTCGCTAACTGTATTATTATATTATCTAACTGAATTTGATATTTATACGCTAAATAATAAGTCAAGATATTATTGTAGTGCACGAAGAACTCAGGTGGAAAAGATAAATTTATCATTTATTGCGAAATTACAGTGTCTTCGTAAAATGTGAAAACCACCCATTAAACACATCATTTGCACATCTTCCATTAGTTGTCTCTTACAAACTTCATTGTTACTTCATTCCTTTTGTTATTTTGAATACTTATTTTTCTATCTATCTTTTGTTCATTTGAATCTTCTACCCGCATGCATTCCACTTCCAGTTGGTATTAAATATTTCTAATATCTATCAACATAAGCAGCATACGCCATACTACGATTACCAGTTATTTATTAGTTGATGACCAATTATCTGAGTGTATAAATGGCAACTATAACACAATAATAAAGATCGCACTTGCATCCATGATATTCAAAGAGCACTAAATTAGTCAAGTAATACCGACTCAATAAAGATTAAAGCGCTATTTTTATTCAATGTATCGAGCCCAAGGACCTTAAAGATTAGAATGAAATTTTGAGGTGAGATGAAGCCAACAATACACCCAGATTATTGTGCCAGAATTCTGTGAAAATCAACGATTTCATAAAATGACATGGTTATTTCATGGTTTCATCAGTGATTCCTTATGATGTACGAGATATCAAGTCATGACTTCATCTAACCATTAAGTTAATTTCATACATCTTTAATAATAAAATGGTTAATATCAAAATTTTACTAGTATTGATTATAGAGAAAAGAAAGTTCTCTGTTTATATGACAGACTTATAAACCATCTGAAAGATACTTTTCTTCACTGAAACAATTTCGTTTAGTCACTCAAGTGATTTCTTTCATTGATTTATAAAGAAGCTTCTAATGATATTAGGAAATTAAATGCTGTTTTTTAATATGATCTTGTAATTTTATTAATGTAACACTTCTATGGTGGTTTGACTGTTCCATTAAAATAGCACAAAACAAAATATCATAAGCAGAGATGGACGGTGGCTAGCATTAGGAAGTGGAAAACATGTTTCATCTCATTTAAGACTGGTCTGCTGGATGTACCTACATCCCTAACACGACCCTAATTCTGGGACTTGAACCCAGTACCATTCGCTTCAAATAACATCGCGTTATTCACTTAGCTACTGAGTTCAAATAACCACTAATTAGTGCAATGGGGTGAATTTTTAATTCGTTTTATGCTGGTTATTTGAACCTTCCCATTAATGTTTAGGACTGCAGCTGATCAATCTCTCATTGGTGTATGTGCGTCCTGTGCATGTACATCCAGCTAATGAGTCTCAAATAGGACAAAACGTGCGTCCAAGATTTTACTGCTAGCCATCATCAATCTCTGCTTATAATACTTATAAGTTCAACCAATATCGAGGCAATTCGCACAAAACATACATAAACCATTAAGAGACTGATCAATTAAAGTCCTAAACATCAATGGGAAGATAACAATAACCAATACAACAAATGAATTATTTTATTTTTCTTAAGAAATATGAAATAAGATTAACACATCAGCCGGTTAATTATGAATTGTACTTGTTATTCGCAAGAAAAAATTAGTAAAAAGATTTTGAAATACACCGTTGGATGCCGGCTCAGTGGTCTAAAGGTTAACCGTTCGCGCACGAAATCGATAGATCCTAGGTTCCAATCCCGCATGGCGGGATCTTGAAAGCACACTGCTGAGGAGTCACACAACAGAACAAAACGGCCATTCAGTGCTTCCATGTTTTCCATGGTGGTCTGGCTTCAATTGACTCATGAACGCAAATATTAAATTACTATAATATCCACAAAAACCCTTTTCTGATAATACTCAATTAATGGTTATTTATTTTCGTAAGGTTTCTCAAAACCCTTCATTGTTTGTATTTAATCGGTTTATGCTGAATAGTTCTTTTATTGCTTAAAAGATTATTTGGAGAAAACATGAACGAGTAGTAAATTATTTTATGTATTAAATTTGTAGTAGTATGATATATTCTGCATTAAGTTAAATCACTTAAATTTATACCAAACATTTATAAAATCGAATCTTATAATCTAAAGATGAACTGATTAGGAATAAATTGAGATAACAACCTATTAGAAACAAATAACTGTAGATTGAGGTATATTTCATAATTATGACAGTTGAAAATATGTGTTCCTAATGAATTTCAGCGCAGTAGTTTGTTCATACTTTGCGATTAATTCAGGATATAAAGAGTTTCAATTTTCAGTATCAGGTTGGATTGTAAATATACATTATTGTAGGAAAAACATTAACTTTGTAATTTACAATTTTCAACTATTCTACTGGTGAGTTCGTTTTGTTTGCAAGAAACGTTTTTTTAGAAATAACACATTAGTTTAACATATTACATTTCAGAAATCAACAATACCAGTAATAATAATTAATGAAAGTTATTCATTAGTATAGTATTAGCATTAAGAATAGTACATATTTCAGCTGATACATTCTTCTAAATTGACATATTACTAATAATCAGTCTATGCCTACTGTAAAATCGAATTGCAATTTTGATGAGAGAACTAGGCTGTATTAAATTTATCCATTAAGACTTCCGAAAATGTATTAAAATTTTGAAAACAATATTTATATTTTGTCATTTCTATTCAATTTCAACTAGTTGTGATAAAAGGGTATGATAACGTGGACCGATATACTTATGTTGTAGGTTTCACATTGTGTTTGATTAACTGATTGATTGATGAATAACACCTAATGGTATTTATGTGTGATGATATTAGCTGTTCCCACACCAGACAGTATTCTCTAATTTTTAATCAAAGTATGAAATATCACTTGTAGATGGGTTAATGTTTTGTAGGTACATTGAGAGAAATATGTTGTTTTACAATATTTGAAAGTTTTGCAAGATTTCTTACTATCAAAACAAAATTTTATTATTCAATTGAGTCAATTCAATATTATATAAATTTAGGTTTTCGAGCCATTGAATTCTCATTTGTAATTTTATGATATTTTATTTATTTTCATAGTTACAATTGTTTACTACTACCTGAGTTTTTATAGTCTAAGCTATCAAAATGTCGATAATGAATTACATAAATATGAAATGTTTTAATATGACGAATCAACGGATCGTCACCGACAATTGTTTGAGTTCACTGTTCTTAATTTTCGAATTTATCGGTTTGAGTAAGCTAAGATTAAACGATCTAGTTTAATATTCACTGATAATATTTTACACTTAAGATAGTTTAATATCTTGATATGGTATAATAAAGTAATACATGAACAAAAACATTCCAAGTATATTATTTGTAATAGCTGCTTACTTAGACATATGATAGTATTATCATTTCTATAAAATTGATCTATACAAATTAAAATAATTTATTTATCTTCTTATTTCTTATCTAATTATATAGTTTCGTAATGAACTTGCAAAAATTGTAACACCAGGTGATCCAAGAGCTGATTTACATGAAATATGTCGAATCGGTAAAGGCAGTACTGGTGTTGTTTATTTAATGCGTCATTCACCTACTAAACAATATGTTGCTGTCAAAAAAATGAATATATTTAAACAACAAAGGCGTGAATTACTTTTTAATGAAGTAAATGTTTATAAACCCTTAGTGTTATAATAATTGTTATTACTACATTTTATTAATAATTTATTTTTGATTGAAAATTATTATGTTTATTTACATGTTAAAATAACAGTCTTATGTTTACAGCTTTACTACTTCTGATAGTGAGTAGTTAAGTAATATTTGTGTTAAACGTTTTTTTTTTCGCATACCAGACTTAACGGAATTCTAGTGGATTTTTCTAGTGACACTTTTACTAACCGAATAGAATAGTTTCGTTTGAAGGTGAGTGAATAATTTGGAATGAATAGGAGCATAATCAATTCACTGAAAAATTAATTTCAAGAGTCTTAAGTAATTGTCATTAAACAGCAACCATGTTTTGATTACAAAGTAGTATTGTGTTGTAGGTTACTTATATCCACATGGGTAGTATATAACGGTGGTCAGGCATAGGATGTATTTCAGCGGATGATCGATGAGAAAAGAACGGAAACGGAACGCTATCGGTATGAAAATGCATGAACAATGAAATCGGAGACATTTAACTGATATTTGCGAAAAGAGAGTCAAGTTTGAGACGATGGATTGATATTTTGCAAATTAATTATTCATTATATGGTTCTCAGATTTTAGTGAGATGTTGTGTAGTTTTGTGTCCAATATATTCGATTGTCCTCACTTGTGTTCTTGTTTACTACATTTGGTGTTGCTACCAACCAGGAGGCGAAAGGTTCTATTCTGTGGACGCCGTTGCGGGCCTCACTTGGAAATGTCGAATAATTAAGCATTGAGTAGATTGCTATAAATATCTAAGTTTGGATTAATTTTTATTTGGTTGTGTGTTTTCTGAAGACGTGGCTTACACTTGGTGACAAAACGTCAGGTCTTATTTTTCTACTCATTGGGATATTATAAATATATTAACTTATTTTGCAAACTGTATCTTGTTTCATTTCAAGAATCCTTGGAGTGCACAGAAAAGTAAGATATACAGGAGTCTAAATGAAGTATCATGTAGACAGTTGTAACTTCGCTACACATTTCTTTTATTATCACAAATTTCTTTAAAATAAACTCGCTGGAATTAACCTTTGTGAAAGCATTAGATGGGTTCATAGTCAATACTAAACCACTCCGATCTTGTACGTTCAGGAAATAAAGTCTTTACTTTGAAAACAAAAATGGATAATTGCTAGGTTCAGATGTAAGTGTCTATATCAATACACTACTTACTTTTTAAAGTAACATCATGTAATATCGTGATCAATAAAGTTCGAGATATCATGCTAAATCCATACCAGTCTGTTACTTTGATTCTGATAGTTATTGGTCTATTTTGGATTCCTGGTATTCTGTTAACAATCCATATTGCAATTAATTGTCTCTCTTTTATCATAATATGATACTCAATAAATAAAATAAACTTTACTTAAAATTGTTTTTATGGGACTACACAATGAGTTTCTATTTTGAGTTACTGAGAAATGTATTCTTGTTATAAATTAAATATTCCGAGTTTGAAAAAAGTTGATTTAACTTATTGTGTAATAATTAAATTAAAGTCGATCAGTTTTTGTCATTACGATATTTAAGAATACCTTTCAACATACCAATGTCTATGAGATTGTTTAATTTTTATAATGACCTATTTTAATTGTGTACAAATCAAACAATACACAATGAAATTACACCAAGCTTTTAGCTACATAGCTTTCATAATTGGTATCATTGTCTCAAAGATTTTGTTCATCTTAGTAATATTATATCGGGTATTACTTACTAGCAGTGTGCTACATAATGGATCAATAATAAAAATATTATTATGTAAAGCACTAGTAAAACAACACCTGACAAACTAAGATGAATGAACTTATTTCATGGTTTCTTTTTAGCCATATATCAATGGTAATAATTATTTACAATTAATATAGACACTTTATATTATATTCATCGAAATTAACAGGATAAACGGTATCGAGTATGGACTATTGAATTAAATTATAAAATAAATGAATATCTATATTAATAAAGGTGGAAATAATAGAACACACATTTTGAAATACTTAATGACTTGTTTCTAGTAGATAAAAATTATTGTCAAAGGATCATATTAACAGTCATGTCTGTTATCTAAACATCTTAATAGCTGGGTAGTAATGTTTGTCTTTATTTATTTATTTAAACACATAAGCATTGGTACAAGGAGGCATCAAACAGATATTCGTCACATAAATCGAATGATTTATGTAAGGGTTGGGATACTGCCCTGGTGCTCAAACCGAAGCCACACCTCGAGCCTTTGACCTAAAGGTCCAATCGACAAGGAAGTGGAGTAACGTAAGGAGTCCGTGTACACCGTTGGTTTGGAATTAGGGTTTCCCATCTCCCTTATGTGGATCCTTCGTATCTATCAACCCGGTTAAAGCGCTGGACATTCGTCTTTCGTCATCTCAATTCCGTAAACAACATCCTCGCCACGAGGAGGCAGTGAAAAGGACTTCTCTGGCAATGGTCTCTCCTCACTCTCAGCCGTACCAGAGCATTTAAGGGCTAATGTCTTTCCTATTGTATTATTAGATCACAGTGGCCTTAGTTGAGCAGAAACCACCATATTCCATCAAGATCCCAGATACACCTTACTGACCGATTCTTATCAGCTCTATGTTCAAATTTTCCTGATAATTCCCCTGTAAATACCTAATATTATGACATAATGGATTCAATATCTAACAATATAGACAGATCATTTTATCATGAAGTGATCATGAGGATTCAATCTATCATAATATAAAATAGGCAATCAATATAGATATAGTTAGGTTTATTGTACTAATTCTAGACAGTTTCTGATCAGAAAAAAAACCGATTAGATTTGAAGTTATTTTATTCTAACTTTTGTATTTTAATACTTTTAATTACTTTAATTGATTCGATTTAATTCTAATTAATCTTGGAATAATAAATTACTTGAACTATTTATATGAATTATTCCAATGATTGTTTTATTATTATTATTCGAGTATTAATTGTTGGGGATTTTAGATCCCCAGAACTCACTTGGGAAAGGACCTAATTTTGTAATTTTATTTAGAAAATTTGAATTTCTTTGTTTTTGTGACAAAGGCGCTCTTGTCACCTTCATGTCGTATTTCCCACTGGGAAATACCTTAAATGCTATTGGGCCGTTGCGTCTTTTAGTATGCTATTTGGTAGCTCTTCCCAAAGACGGTTTTGCACTGTATGTATACGTTTTGAATTGTGTTTGTTGTTATCGCTCGTTTCTGGCTCTTTTGCAGAATATACTTCTACCTCTAGTTAGCGGGGCTGGGACGCACCAATAGCTAGCTTACTGGTCTTTGGTCACCGAGTCTTGTTCTCGTTTGCACATTAAGTGAACTCGTGATAGCTTCAAACCTAGCATTAATTTAAAACATTTCTTTGATTATAAAATTTATTTTTAACTAGGCAAATGATAAAACCTCACACATATACACATACATATGAATAAACAACTTTTTATAAAATGATATGAGATAAATTAATTTATGTTAATGAAAAAGAATTGTTTTCAAACTACTTATAATTTATTTATGTATATATGTATATGCATAAGCGAAAATGAAATTGATAGTAATGAGAAAAAAATGAAGTAAAATATATTGTATATTATTGAAAATTATTGGTAAAGATGGATGCCGAGGATCGGTAGAATAAGGAACACACGTTTCGTCCCATTTGAGACTCGTCAGCTGGATGTACTTGTATCTATAAGTTGATGTTTATTCCGGAACTTGAACCTGTTCGTTTCAAACGCCATCGCGTTATCCACTTAGTTATTAAGTCTGGATAATCATTAGCTAGTGTGATGGGGTAAAGTTTAAATTTATTTTGTAATGTTTGTTTGAATCTTTGCATTGATGTTTAGGACTGTAATTGGAGTCATTTTGTAAACATATACCCCAGAATTTGCTTTCAATGGTAACCTAATTCACTTGCTTGTTGAAATCCCATTAAAGTGTATCAGTAGATAAACGATTTCTAACAAGAAGGATGCTTTGATGATCCTGGATCCATGAAACTCATCCCATAAGTACATTACGTATTTCTTTGGACAGCATCAGAGCAACTCTCGTACCTAACTTTGCTCTTCCGCCTAAGTACAATGGGTTTCGCTGATCCCCAGTACTGCCAAGTTGTATCTTCTCATTTATGTTGCTATTTGACTGGTTTTTCCGGTCTCCCACATTGTCCAGATATTCCATGTACCTGTAAAAATTGTTACTCTGGTGGCTAGAAAAAGAATCGGTCTCGTGACTTCCGTAGGAACTTGGCTTTCATCATGTGGCGTCACGATTCTTTCATGAACTCGGAGGACAGAGTTTAAATAGTTTAATTTGTTTAATTTGACTAGTGTTCTTCAGCAAGGTTGTTTTCTACGGGATGGGTTGCTGACCTCATACCCAACCCTCCTCCATTACCCGTGGTTTTATTCGGCAGTAGCCCTAGAAGCGCTATATGCGGAGTTAATAGGAGATTGTAAGGAAATAATTATATACATGAATTATTTGAATAAAATATGAAATACAACCATACTGCTAATACATTCATTAAAAACATTTTCTTTTGAAACAACCATTTGCATGTAATTGTTATTGAAATAAATATCCTGAAAAAAAACTACAAAACATTATCCTGACAATAAAAGAAATGATATTAATGTAGTTTAAACAATGCGCTAATTCTAGCTACACATAGCATGGAAGTACTGAACTGTGTTGCCTTAGTATGCGACTCTCCTCTAGTCCAGTAACGAATAATTTTAAATGTTTCACTTGGCAAGTGTTGTCAGTCATCAAATATTTATTAATTGTTCTAATATTGGTTTTAATACAGGTGTAAATTTGGTCGATGTATGACATAAATTATATTTTCAAAGATCTTTACAAATATCTGCATAATACTATTTTTTATTTTAAAAGGTAATTATTATGCAGAGTTACCCGCATCCAAATATTGTTGAAATGTTTGGGTCCTATTTAATTGGTAATGAATTATGGGTAGCCATGGAATATTTAGAAGGTGGTGCACTAACCAATATTGTTACACGGACATTGTGAGTCATGAATTCGTATTTGTTTTTTTTTGAAACATTTTTTTGTCGTTTCACTTAGCATTACTTGTTTTCTTGGATACACCTTCGTTTTCCAGAGTTGACATGAGGAATTATCGAACAAAATGCCATGTGATTCCATTAAATTAACGACACTGGGTGATATTTGAAATAATCGTTTTATTCATCAATTTTTCAGATGATGCTTAAAAGTTTTCAATACATAGTCTTATCATAATGTTTGAAAACAAACTGATGAAAACCTTGAAGTTTAGGTTGTAGTGTTCAAATAAATCCTAATTACCAGAAGGACTTCATTCATTCTGATATTGTCTTGGAACCTCATTTAAGAGTATAACATCGGTTGTAAATGTAGTTTACTGTAAGGTGTCCGATTGGGTGAAAAATTGTTGTACAAAAAATTCTCTATTATAGTTTTGGTACAAATATCGAAATGACTTTCTTTAAACGTTTACTAGTTAGTAAAGAATGGTATTTTACTCGGCCTTTAGTAGTGACTAAATTGTATTGGTCAAGTTGGGCCTGAGAGTTACAAGACCCATTTTATTTAATGTTATGAGATTAAAGGCAGTTCGAACGAAGCTCCTGAACCTAGTCTTGATACTTATTGGCACCCCTCAGTACGGTGATTAAACACCGTCAAGGATAAATATCTTCCTCAAAGTATTTATATCTAAATGCTCTAAGGAGTATATCTTTGATTGTGGTACTGAGTAGCAGAATTTCGAATTTTGTAGAATGCATTAGTTTCTTGAATATTTCATGTATTCTGACTGGAAATGAATACTAGTTTATTCAATAATTTGGCTGTATCAGATTTCATACTGTTGATTTCTTTCACAAACTCAAACAAACTGAGCTTCACAATACTTGCAAGATACGGTTATGTAAGTGATTAGAAATAATTGAACATATTAGCTTGCATGTCATCAAAAAAAGCAGCGAAATATAACTAATTAATCGTATTCTTCAACTACTGTTGTTCCTCCTTGATTTTCTATTCTGTTAACTTTACTAAAATACATTATGAAAATCTGAAATTGATTTCTTCTTATGAATGAGACATTTAGCTAAATAATTTTGAAGTATATTTTTATGTACTTTCCCTTAAACCTATGACTTAAGAAATCTAGAAATCACTATAGGTTAACTAAGTAGGTCATATTGTAGTGTGTGCTACTTATATCGGCATAAGTAGTATATAACGCTTGTCAGGAATAGAATTTCTGGCAGCAGAAGCTCAAGAAGATCGAAAAGGAAAGAACGGGAACACAAAGCAATTGATATGGAAATACAGGAACATTGAAGTTCGAGAGGATTGACTGATATTTGTAAAAGTAACAGGCAATTTTGAGACAATTGATTGATATTTTGCAAATTAAGTATTCACTGTATGGTTCTGAGATTTCATTAAAGTATTCTGTAATTTGAATACATTCGATTGAACCTACTTGCGTTCTCCTTCACTACAATCTGATTTAAATCATGAAAGCATAATGGATTAATTTTTAAAATGGAAATGATTTTTTGATGATTAACATTTGATGTATTGTAGAATGTCTGAGAAACAAATAGCCACCATCTGTCGTGACGTACTTCGAGCGTTGGCGTTTCTGCATGACCATGGTATCATACATAGAGATATCAAATCCGATTCTATTTTATTGTCAATCAATGGACGTGTAAAGCTTTCAGACTTTGGATTTTGTGCAAGAGTAAGTTATAATATAAAAGTATGTAAATATGTTGTTTTCATGTAACTTCTAAATGCACAATTTAGGTGTTTATTTTATAGTGCTGGAAAACGTTTCCTTTTTACTCCAATGGATTTCAATATTATCATCCTCTTCTTATCGTGAACAACAAGTCTTTTGACCTTTATATGACCATATCAAATCTCATTTTTATATTTATGCTGAAATTAACAAGTGTTTTTATTATTTTACATGAGCTATCCAAAAAATTAAAACTATTATCAAAATCTTTCAATTATAACTTATTTGAATTGTCTTTGCAAATTAATCCTACATAAGGTCAGTAGTGGCCTGAACAACTCAATTGTGTCGTCTCTGACTTTGGAGCTGGGTTACGCAGGATCAAATAATTTCCCTACAGATTTCTGGTAAAACTCGCTAACGATTGCCAAATAGCAAGAAACATGGGTCAAGGATATCCAGTCAGTTACCTCCAGCCACTACGTAGGTTGGTTTGTGAATGTAGAGTTCAAGTTTTAATAAACGATCAAAAGAATGTATCAATTGACTAACCCGATTTTGTGTAAACACTTTCTGATGGCAACCAAATTGCAACACTATCGTAGAATAAAATCATAAGTATTCATTCATCCAACAGTTAAATCTCGAATAGGTGTAATATATCATGCGAAAAAACAATGTCGTTTCTATTTCACTGCTGTAGAATCGTTGTATTTTATTAGGCAATGAAGCAATTGTAAAATGCTCATAGGTTAAATCATGAACTAATCTTTACTAGCAAACCATTGAGAGCCAAAAAATAATGGACGGTTATTTCGTCCTAATGTGACCTTCCTTAGCAGTCCAGTTATTTATGTATTACGGAAAAATTTACTTAGTCCACTTCAACTAATCTTTCGTTGTTATACCAGACGAATGAAGTAGGGTGAGCAGAAGTTTTCTAATATTTATGAATAAACGTTTTGAACCATGTTTTTGTGTAAAGCAAAATGTTGCGCCCCAGTTGACTGCTTTTAATTCAATAAAACACATCATAGAAGCCACCCAATCTTTTACAACTGTAAGAAATACTGTATTGTTATATTTATACAATGTTTGCAATTTTTCCCATGTTTATGTTTAACTGATACCGATAAATAACTATGACCGACTTCTAAGTATCTGTTTATTTTGTATTTATATCAAGGTCTCTCCTGATCATCCTCGAAGGCGTAGTCTTGTAGGAACGCCGTATTGGATGTCCCCTGAGGTGATCAGTCGCTTACCTTATAGCACATCTGTTGATGTATGGTCAATGGGTGTCTTATTAATTGAAATGGTTGACGGCGAACCAACATTTTTTAACGAACCACCATTACGAGCGATGAGAAATATTCAAAGAGATGCTATTCCCCATTTAATGTATCCTCACAAAGTATGGATGGTTTATGTTTGGCTTTCGGTGCATATTTTGAAACTATTACTGTTTGTTTGTATCTCTTTATTACTTACTATTTGATTATTGACGAGTTTACTTAATAACGAAAAAAAACAAAATAATATTACCCTTCACTTGCTCGGGTCATGGAACTTTATTTAATTTCAAAATCGTTTGCAACACGTAGAAGCATAAAAAAAGAACTACTTCTCTACTCAACTATTTAGATTTAGAACGTCCCATTAGTGCTTATTCTGGACCCAACACCATTAAAACTATTAAGAAATAAGGAAATTTTGGGATGGTGATTATCGACCAATGTGTTGAAGTACATTAATTCACATCTTAGCATGCCCGCTAATCTGGAATATAAAGTAGTTCACATTGTATTTAAGTAATGTGTGATTCCTATACAATCAACATAGTCAACTAACAAATCTATCATAACTAACTAGCTGAAAAGTTGAGAAATACATCCCAACTTTTACTAACGACAAGCACACCATTCAAGTAATATCAAATAATATCAAATTATGCTATCCTTACATTGAATTTATTAAACTCAACCTATCTATAAACGTTCAATAAATTTTACTAATGAATTTATGAGACACATTTATGCTCAAATCATGCCTTTCCATTTTGTACCATCTTTAGTCATCCCCATCCATCTTACATAAATGATTATGCTCCTTTTTATAATTATTCTTTTATTACATATATCTCATAATATATACAAGAGATTGTGAAAAAATAAATGAACACTTGAAAACTAGGTTTTAAAAGCCCTCTTGTTAAATCGTGATAAAATACTTGTATTCATATTGTGACTGAGTGACACATCTATACTTGGTACTTCATTGTAGTACAACTACTGATACAGATTAAAGTAAGGAAGAAAACAAGACTGTGAATATCAATTCATTTATACATTCACTTCATATTTAATCATTGATTTATGTTAACCAATGAATCTGGACAATAGATGGCATGATTTACTCAGCAAATTCATGTATCTATACATTTTACTAAATTAGTAGATGAATTACTTGAACTAACAAATACAATTTAATTACCGAGTTACATTTTTATTTGCTTCCTCTCAATCACTTTCTACCTATTTGAGTAGTGTTCAAGTTCAAGTAGTTTGTAAGATAGCACATTCAAATTTCGTTAATGTAACATTACCTGAAATAATTTCATAAGTGCAGTAATCTAGACTGAATCATTCATCAGTCTATTCTCTCATTATGACAAAAACGACGGAATGAATACAGTTGGTTGTATATGTTATGTGCCTAATGTTTATTCTTTTTGATAACCTCTGTAGATGAAAAAGACTAAAATTAGTATATTTGAACATATTCAACATTATACCATTTATTTCAAGCTTATCAATGTCATTATTCACAAAGCATGTGGATTGATGCTAACAAGATATTGTGAAAACTCACATTCATTTAGATTTAATTTAATTTGAGAAATGAACATGGTTATAATAATGGAACACTGAAATTCGCCCATTACCACTAGATTATCTAAGACCAAACTATTCAGCTCATAGCTGCTCGAATATATATAATATGTACTCTTATGTAATCGTAATGGAGAATGTTCATAATCGTGTTATTTTATCAGCTGGTTAGAGCCTCAAATGTAGAAGATTGACTGCCAACCTGATACTCTACAACATAAGCATAAACCTGCATGCACAGTGGTCTACCGTGGCATAATCAGACAAATTAATTCTGTTTCAATTTATGCATTACAACGGCACTTCAAATGACAGTTCTTGTGTCATAGAAGTCCCCTACATACAAAAACTATCAATGCATGCTTTAAATATGCGTACAACCAAATAAATGTAAGTAAGACTTGCAAAGAATATATTCCTCAGAAATTAACAGTTATCTTCGACATAGTCACAACAACAATCACAAAATAATTGTCATCAGATTTGCTGATTAGTTATCTGAAACTCTCATCATTTTGTCCAAAATGTTTTCAATGGATAGTTTTCTATTGATTTCTTAATGTGTAGACATTTTTTTAAAAATGTTCTCTTCTTTATTTCAGTCATCTAGGAAACTCAATTCATTTCTCGGACTAATGTTAGTTCGTGATCCTTTCAGAAGAGCAACAGCTGCTCAACTTTTACTACATCCATTTCTATTATTAGCCGGTTCCAGTGATTGTCTTCTACCATTATTATATCAGTCGAATATTGTCTCATGAGATTAGACATAATGTATATGAATCCAGTTGGAAACATTTGGATACAACGCAATAATTAAATCAATATAGCTCATTCTCAATCAAATGATGACTTTACATGAATCAATAACAAGGAATAAAATCCCAACTTTCTTTTCCTCTTCTTTTTGATCATTGTGAAATTAACACACACTATACTCATTCTACAATGATGAGCATACACAGAATAAATAAAATTTAAATTGAAATTTATTCACTTTTGTAAACCAATTTCTATATTCTTTCAATTATGAGTTCACATATTGTCACTTTCACAAGTTCTCCTAAATAAAATAATAAATATCAATGTCAAATTATAAAGAATCTGTGTCTGTCTTATTTCTATCTTTTTAAATGTAAATGACACAGTTATCTCAGATGAACAAAAGATTCTGTACAAAATATACACACTGTAATAGACCACATTGTATTAACAAAAAGACTTGGCATTTTTATGTGATATTAACAATTAACTACTGTCTAACAATAATTTACTTTCTCTTTTTAAAAAAAACATAATAATAAAAGAAGAATACAAAACGTGTTACAATGGTAACCAGTCTTTCATGATATTTAATGGTTTAGTTATTTTGTTTCTTTTATATAGAGTTTATCATTTCTTACACACATATACATACACACACACATCTATTATGTTTATCTCTCCGTTCACCTAATACATAATTGCAACATAGAAAGAATTTTGAATTTATTTTGAAAAGAATGTTTTTTTTCTGTTTCTTCATTGTTTCTATGTGTGTCGATTAGTTGTGGAAATTCGGCCGATGAAATAACTTTATCACAATCGTTTCTTCTTTTGTTCGTTTTAGTTTACGGTTAAGTGTTCGTATGATTTTTCAAACCATCTAAAAGAAAGAAAGAATGATTTGCTACATTTTTTTGTATAAAATTTATATCACCATCATAAATACATACACAATATTTTTTTTGTTATTGTACATAGTTACCATGTATAATTGAATATATTCAGATTGTTGTCTAAAATCATTTTACTCTTTTATGTGTTGTTTTGTTTATCTCTTTTTTTCTTTCTTAAATTTTCTTTTTTTTCTCTAAAATGCTTCCTTATTAATTAGGGCACTTTGAATATGTAAGTTATGATGTGATAAAAAGAAAATGAAAAGTCTATTTAATTTACTTTATAAAAAAGAAATCAGATTTTCTTATTTTTCAATACCATAAAAGTAGGCTTATCATAAAGTTTACTGAAGTGTTAACTGTCATCTCTTAAAATCTAAATAGAGAAGTTTAATGGTGTTGAAAATATACTTGTCCACTCAGCATTCTTATTAAATTTATATTTTGATTTGATTGATAAGATTTACGAAAAGTTATTTATTTTCGAATATTTTCTACAATTTTTCAAAATTGTACAGTCAACTAGTGTCCTCCAGTTAACTATTAACTTCATATACTTTGGCTTGAAATAGAACTTTATTGTATTACCAGATTCTTGTTTATTCATGAATTTCATTATGAAAAACGTTTGAAGGTTATTTAGAAAGCCGAATACATTAATTATTTACTCGTTGACACAGAGCTTCGTGAACGACGATAAAAAATGTGTATGTATGGGACGCCCAGCATAAAATTAAACAGATTTGACGATATGAAAATTTATTTCATGCGTCCAAATTTTTTGTTTTTATTGTATTTTGATAGAATATCTAGTGGCCCGTTGATGTGATTACAGTTTGATCGTATAGTGACGTTGATGAAGTCCTCACATATAATTATCTACCTAATTCACATTCGAGAATAACGGAATAAGTCAAGTACGATAATTAATTTTAGATACGTATATTTCATAAACTCGTTGATCTAGAAAAGTAGTCAGAGAATCGGATTAAAGAAGTAGACCAGAGAATGTAAGTTTCCCAGCTGGATTTGACAGCACGTGACTCATTGTTTTAAGCCAAACGAAAATAAACTAAAGATGTATGATGAATAGGGTAATAGATAAACACACACTTGAATAAAAACAATTAGTATCAGAATGGGTTTTGTGGAGATTTTAGAAATTTCACAGATTGAAATCATGAGTCAATTGAGGCTATTTCATCATGGAATGCCTGGAAGCACTGGACGGCCGTTCCGTCCTAGTATGGGACTCCTCAGCAGTGCGCATCGGCGATCCCGCGCCCCAGGAGATTCGAAACCAGGACCTATCAGTCTTGCGTCAGACGCTTAACCAACTAGACCACTGGGCCGGCCGGAATCCAATGGTGTTAATGTCTAACTTCAACCAATCCACGAAGTTGCGCTGTGGTGTGAGCTACTTATATTCATATAAGTAGTATATAACGTGCGTTAAAAGAACGTAATGTCCGGCAGCAGAAGATGGCGAAGATCAAGAAAGGAAGAGCAAGAGCAGAATGGAATTGTAAGAAAACGCATGTACAATGGAATGGGAGACAATGGAGTAGTGTTTGCAACGGGAACAGTACAGTTTCATATGATGGAATGATATTTTGCAAATTGACGATTGACTTTATGGTATTAACATTTTATTGAGATAGTCTGTAATCTTTGTGCTAAATACAGTCGATTGTCCCCACCCGTGTTCTTGTTCACTACAGCGGCACCGTACACCTTTGTCTTCAGTGAGTTCCTATCTCACAACAGACCGGCTGAACTCCACTGGTAACGGCTTCTCACTAGAACTCCAGGAGTGTCTCCTGAAGTCAGTCACTAGTGAGCAGATGATTATTATCAGGATGGGTTTTGTGGAGATTTTAGAAAATTCACTGATTGAAATCATGAGTCAATTGAAGCTAGACCATCAAGGAAACGGCCGTCCAGTGCTTTCAGGTTTTCCATGGTGGTCTAGCTTCAATTAACTCATGATTTCAACCAGTGAAAAACAATTAAGTTTATAAGCGAATAAACAACAGATTCAAATTATGATTCATGAAGAATAAATGAATTGTTCTATCCGGTAGCTTCAATAACTCATGAGGGCTTGATATAGAGCTAGACATTACAAGTAATCTTATTCACTCTATTTAATTACAAGTGATTTTGAAAATTTGAACATTGTTTGAATTTATTATCTAAAAAAACTCGAATTCGAATAAATTGAATTCTTTGTAAACTGACAATTTAAACTTCACTACTTGCTACACGTGGAACAATGCATTCTGATGAACTGAAAATAACCCAAAGTTACATGTGTACAATTGGTGTCGTCTAAACTACAAAGAGAATATATTTATGTATTCCTAATTTGGAGTAATTTAATTTACATGTCGTTTCTTAAAACGCTTTCATTTTAACCATGCTTGGAACATGAGAAAAGAACGAATGAAACAAGATGTAAATGAATAGAATGAATTTCATAACACTAAAAACGAATATCTATTTTCTGTAAACAATCTAATCATATATAAGATTTATGCGATAACATAATATTCAACTTAAACACTGTGAACAAATGAATCGCTGATATTCTCTATATATCAGAACATTTATGCAAGATAAATACGATTAACTTTAGAGTATAAGTATGTGTGGTGTTTGAATGAACTAATGATTCCTTTGTACTTGTTGATAGCTTGATTTTGAATTCTAAATACAGTACATTTGTTCGTGCTTATCTAGTACTTCTTGATCCGATTACGTTATTTCTGGGATTCTTAGTTCTTACTATAATTCAAATACTCCTAATCATCATAGTAAGCTCGGAAACAATAAAATGTCTCATAGCCAGCTAAATTCCACGTCAGTTGTTAGCAATTCATAAATTTCAGTTTCACTGATGTATTATCATTATAAACAATAAAATAATTTTATAGGATCTTGTTTCTTAGAAAGTGTGCTCTTTGTGAGGCAATACTGTAGAGTATCTGAAAATTATTTAAAAAACTTTACTTCATTATGTCAGCACTACAAATCAATATTTAAATAATTTCCATTTTCACTGAGCGGTAGTTACTTGTTGGATATAATTTACATTTTACATTTTGGTTGAGAAATTCATCCTTGAAAAATATACAAGAAAAAATCTGACTACGTTAATGAAGAACGTAAACTCTAAAGCCAGGCTGGACAAAATTTGATATGAACGTTTCGTGAGACTGTATGATCAAGTAGAAAGAAACAAGAATGATGAGAAGATTGGCAGGTTTTTATGTCTTCAGAGACATAATGCTCAGTTTTTATTTCTGAAGCTTTATACACAGAGCTAAATGCGTTTCACCGAGCCACACTATAGAAACCAGACTAATTACATCTGGATACATAAAAATCAGAAGGTCTAAGGAAGACATAAGAAGAACGGAGGAGTTGATATATTTTCAGTTCAAAATATGTTGGTGATCAAGGTAAGACTAAAACTAAAGAAACATTGAACAACTAGATATGCAACAGTACAAGGTTTAATACTGTCCTTTTTGTAAATTGTAATAAGCTGAGCGAGTCCAAGGTTTCTCTCACCACCAACCTCCTAACTTCGCAGGACCTACTAAAAAAACAGAAACCAGTATGGTAGACAACTCAAAGAGAACTAAAGTATCAATTACTCCAATATATTAAGATATTTTGAATTCCAAATGGTACCAGAATAAAGAATGCATCTGTGGATATTCTGACCTCGATTCAAGAAAGAAAAACATGACAGTCAATAACACTAACAAAAGCAGAGGAACCCCAAGTACAGACCGAATATACTGAAGTAAATAAGAGTGAAGAAAAGAATTAAAACTGATTTGTAAAAATATCTGGTAGATACAGCAAAGCTGTTTTCAAGAGATAATTGCGGAGAACTATGTGATAAAAAAAAGGCTTGTTGGGAAGGTCGAAAAACCAGAGCGATGAGTCGAGAATAAAAATTGAAGACTAGTCACCGAATTTAAAAGCAGCAGAACAAGTGGTTTGGACGTTGTGAAGGGCTCTTAAATAGACCATCTCCCCTGAACCAACGGGAAATCGAAGCGAACATGAAAAAAATATCCTGTTCATTTACGTATCTATGATGTTGATATAAATTTTATACAAAAATGTCCTATTTATTCTCATTTGTAAAGTGAGGGTTAACTAAAATCATATCATCAGAAATACTAGGTTAACTACAGTCAGATATCGCCATAAATGTGGGTAGTTATATTATTAAGCGTAAAATGTCTCATTACTTTTGTAGTTACTTCATCTACCTTTACAATAAGTAAGAAAGGTTCATTGTCTATGTGTTGTAGTTGTAAGTGAAATGAGACATTTTTGTAGAATGTTGTTCGTTTTTTTTTTTTGAGTAGTTATAACCAAAATGGACCACATCATTTTTGTGTGGATCACATTTTTCTCTCTGATCTATTTTCTTAATTAAAATTGACGTTCTTTTAGACAACTCCTGCCAATATATTTCTAAATTTTAGTGACGTTATTCAAACTTTGAGTAAATATCATCTTAAGATATATGAAAAGATCAGGGTCATATAATTGTTTTAACTTTTATTCTTACATTGAATAATAATTTCAACTAATACGATGAACGCAGTGAGAATTTTAGGCCTAGTTCAATTAGACTTGGAAAGAAAAATTTGAACAGTCTATTATTATTTGATTGCTGCTGTTCAGTATTTATAGATTGATTGGTTGATTTTCATTAATTTTTCTATTTAAATCACCTCGTTCATTCCTTTTGACATTCAACTTCATGAAACGGGTCGATGTAAGTCGATCCGTCAATGTTGATGGTAAAATTTGTCTGTCAACATGGCCATTTCTAACTATCGTTTATTGTTCTCCTTTTTTTCTCTTATTCAAACAACAAGCACGTTTCTCAAATGGAATGTAAATCATTGTCTTGAATCCCTGAAACAAATCCCATGGTAACTGTTCACAGATACCGTAAATTGTGAAGTCTTTTTCATCAGACAACGAATAAAAAATTTATTGTTAAGACAATGTCTAAAGTCAACTTAATTTTTTGTGATAGAAATACCGTTGGTAAATATAATTGTTTATTTCGATAATCATAGCAGATGTATCAATGTAGGGAAATAGTATATTTGACTTTCTGTGAAAACAGTATTTGAACTGTAAAATATTCCTCACTCAATCATACAAATAAAAACAGATATCGTCCCAGAATTGTAATATATCATTTGAGTTATGACAACGTAATGACATTATTCTCCGCCACTAAAAATATATGTAACAATGTAAAAAACTTTGTGTTTTGATGTGCATTACACGTTATGATCTCCCTTGTAATAAACTGTCGTCAAAGAAAATCTGGAAATTATCGAAGATCAAACTTGGACATTGAAAGTGATGTCAAGATAGGAAATGAGATAATTAAAATGATATGGAAGGCAAAAGATTAATACACTGATCACAAAATGGGAGTGCTTGAAACGCTTTTCCAACAGCAAGATAATCATAATGCATTTAAGGAACAAAAATTATTCTAGAGACTGACCGAAATAGAAGCTGTTAATGTGGAGGAGTAAAACAAGTAATCGATGTAGTGACATTAGGAAATCATTATCAGAAACTACTTGAAAAGGTAAACTGTGATGTACATTGCAATAATAAAACGAGTGAAAATGACACTCTCCTGACATTGGAAGATCTCGAACGAAGCCTAAAGGGAATAGAAAGTAACAAAGCGGTAAGAAACATATGGCATAGCTGCCAAAATGATATAAAGAGCAGGAAATGTATACTTTTAAATATAATAAATGAATTCTGGGAAAACTCGTTTGCCATCACACAACACTGGGTCGATCATCATGTATAAATTTTGTATTAAAACAAAGGGAATAGACAGGACCAAAATAGCGAGAAAAGCATTTTCTTACCAAATACCATCGGTCAAATATAAGTCGTTATATTATATGACCAAATAGATAGAAGGCTTCATGGAAAACTACCATTGAGACAATTTGAATTTGTAACAAAACATCTCAACAGCCAAGGCAATAACTGCTATCAGACATATAATTCAGTGTGCATTAAACACAGAAACCACTGCTGTACATATATCTGTTTATTGAACTTAAACGTTCAACACCATACCAACAGAACTAGTCATGAAGACTTTAAACGAACTGAACCTACCCAAAAATGTAAAAGAAAATATGAAAAGACTTCTTGAGTGATCAAAAGAATATTTGATTGAAACAGATTCGTATTTCACAATGAACAGAGGTGTCAGGCGAGGTAGTATATAATAACCACTCCTCTTTAACCCAGCTATTGAGCCCCTTCAGTTGTGTCATCAATGAGTGTTCAAATATGCCAATCGGCTTTACCAAGTCGTATGACTGAAATGGGCGTCCACAGACTGGAATGACGGATATTTCGTGATGATACCAAAGAAAGGAGTTCTTTTCACGTGTGATGACGACAGAGGTACCACACTACTACCAGTATCGTGAACAGTTTTCAACATACTACCTGGACAGTATTGTTGACAAACAAACACAATCTGATGGAGATGTGAAGACAGTGATTGAGAAAGCAAGGACAGAAACCCTATATCGAAGAATATGTGGAAACCAAAACAGGTATCACACAATACTAGACTCAGAGTTTTCATTACAAACGTCTAGACAGTTTTGTTGTATGGAGCTGAGACCTAAAAACTCCTGCAACTATCATCCATAAAGTACAGGTATTTACAAGAAGTTGTTTTTGCAAAATATGCTATATCCGTCGGCCAGATACAATCAACAATAATGTAACCTGGTAAAGAACAAACCAGCTTCTAGATGAAGTGGAAGTCAGTGAAAGAAGCTAGAATTGTAGGGGACGCAGGTTACAGAAATCATCAAACTGTATAACAAGACTAGCCCTAACTTGGAATATCATATGACGGGAAGAAAAATCAAAATTCGATTGATTTACTCATTATGAGTTTTGTTCAACATTACTTCTGTTTCGATTCAATGTAATGATTACTCAATGTATTATTTGTTTTATTGTCTCGTACGATATTTTATTCTGTATAACAAACGATTATCGTGTGTTCAATGGACATGAATTATGCTCAGCATTTGCTTTGCTATAACTATGAGTATTTTTTATATGTGTGAATTCATCATACTTACTAATCAAAATGTGTGTACAATCAATATACAAATGAGTGTATTTTCGACTAAGGTCGTTGTCGTCAGCATCATGTTTTGGGGGTTAATAGATCTTTACTTATACCAGTCTTTGTATTCTTACTTTCACGTCATGGGAATTGCGGAGGTCCCTCGTTTCGAGTATAAGTGATGAGCATTTACGACACAACAATCAACGACGACCAAACATAACAAGTGGTATTCAAACAACATGACATATCAGTGGCGAGGGGGATTTTAGAAAAAAAAATTGACAAGACATATCAGAATATTCAAAGAAGAAAGAGAGAAGGAAGATTAAAGAACTAAAACCAGTACACATATGAATCAAATAAATTATTCAGAAAAATCAAGTCCATTTTATATCGGATAGAATTGGTAAAGAAAGCAAGCAGTCAACATGAAACTCATATAACATCTCATTTCCTTACATTTAACAATTATTTCATGAAGATATTTTTCTCTATAACCGTAAGATTTCTCTGCAATTCATCACCTCATCAAGATCAAATAAAATTAAGAGTGTTATAATTTTTAAAAATAATTGAGAAATAGTTGTGTTTAACACAAGCTTATAAATCTTTTATGAATGTCAAGTTTAATTAAGGTTAAATTCTGAGAAACATAATCCAGGGTACAGCTAACTAAATTGCATAACTTTACTTCACTTTCGTTTGACCTAATCAGATCTCCTTTGTTCTCAACCAAAAAATTAATATAATAATTATCATTATCAACCAATCTTTTATGAGATTCAATTTGTAAATTGGTATATATTTAGTGACAACATTCTACAATACTTTACACAAGACAGTATGTCTACTGATCAACGTTACTTTACAGTGAAAACCGCTATACAATATGGTAAAGTTAAACAATTTCAGTTAGTCTTAATAATCACATCGATTTCAGTGATGATCCACCTTGTCGTCATCTGTTGTCATGGTAAATTGCGTTGTTTTTTATTCTTTTGCAAATTTCATAAATCTAATTTTCATGTAATCGTCATCAGTACGGTTCTAGGTAGAAATTAAGTTTTTGCGAATAGCTGTTTTAACATTCAACATATTTTAATACTTGCTTTACAGTCATATATCATAAATATCATCCTCATTATCTTGAAACCTATGTTGTAATGCACTGAATAGCAATAACGTTATTGTGTAATCTACTACAGCATTGACAATATACACTGTGATAAATAAATACTCGATGAAAATGCATGTTGAGTTATTGTAAAATGAATCGCAATTTAGTTTGTGTAAAATTTTTGTTGTCTGCAGTTGGCATATATAATGTTGTTTTTGAACACAGAATATGCAAAAACGTACGTGCATGTTATCTTTTCACCAAACATCATTAAGATGGAAGTATGTTTAGATGTTGTTTACAAAACTGAATTGCTTGGTGAGTCGTTATATAAAACGAGGTAATAGAGAGGTGATTTTAGAAAGAACGATCATATGGATAGTATAAGTTTATTTCTAAAATATGGAAAATTAATTAATTGAATAAAAGAAACATAGACATGTGACGTTAGTTGTATAGACGAAAACGAAACACAAAATACCAAAGTATAGTCGTTAAATATAGTTGTTTTTGATAAGGAACAAGATGCAACAATATTCAAATAATTTTGGAGTTTCGGGGCTCACTGAATATGATATTCTAGTATTTGCGTTACTGCTGGGTATTTCAAAAAATTTTCGAGCATTACAATGAAATAGATTCTATGTACATCCAAATAGATCTCATATTTATGACATAAGTGGTATTTGGTTGCAGTCAAGACATAACGGTGAATTTAAATCTCTTCTAATTGTTCAGTGTAATATAGTCAATTCTATGAACAATATACTTCTCCAGTCATTGCAATCGAGGTTTCCAATACTTGTAGTTTTCTCTCTAATTTCTTAGTCACTTTATGCGTAGGTAATTAAGCATTAAACTTGTGTAAAAGCGACATCATGGACTTGTAGAATGGCACAAGATTTTGTGAATTTATGTTTTCCAAACGAAATAAACATAAATGATATTTCATATAACCTGTACTGTTTGAGATTCGTATTGCGATCTCACAACACAAACATGAGTATGTGTACCTACTAGCAAAATCGTATTATAGATTTTGACCTATTCATTTTATTTCTATGTGATGTAACTCGTAATGGGGATTAGTTAAAAAAATAAATTTTTTATGATACCGATTTATCATATTTGTATGGCATATGTGCACTAATCATGTGTAACAAGAATTTATATCCCCCAGTTTGTATCCACTCCAGTTAAATCAGCGCTTCAGTTTTTGTTATTTTGCAACGATTACCTCGACGACATGAAGGTAATTAGTGAGATATCAAATGGTCAATGGATAAGCCCCTTTGTGTCATAAGAAATCAAGTGAATACATTCTCTTGTCGATCATATGTGGTATCTTAGTTGATAATGAAAAAGTAAACTCTAACTACTAAAATTCCATATTCCACTGACGACGTACAATAGATAATCACATCATTTAACTGATTTTGGAATGAACTGTTCTAATCTGTTTTAATGTCTGACATTCATAATGGAACATTCATAAGAAAATAACATAAATACACATTGTGTATTGTTTTTTAATGCTTTTGGCTGTACATGTCCGTCAAGAAGAGATTGCATTTGGAATATCCTAGTCATCGATAAAGTTTGATAGTTTATTATGTGGTCGTAAAACAGTTTGTGAACCGTAAAAGTAGATCAAGACCGGTATGAACTTGTCTCTAGTAATGCAACAACGGACTAATGGTATAAAAATAATAAAGATGAGAGGACAGATTTATTTGAAGCAATATGTGTAGAATCTCCATTAATTATAGATGTCGGTGGGTCATAATTTGGCGAATGTGCAATTTCGCACTGGGATTTCACGACCCCTTTATATCTGGTTGAAGTAAAGATCACAATCATAACAAAATTTGTCACAAAAATATATCTTTAAATGGTATAAACTGTGGCAACAGTGTGACTTAGAACATGGGACCTGGACCAATTATCTAAGATGCCTATACCAGTTGGAAAATGGACTGTCAACGTAGAGCATATGTCATGTGTATGGAAGACGATGTAATCAAAACATTACCTTGGAGGTTAAACACAAATTGTTTCAAATTTCTTCAATTTTTTTTAGCATTGAGATTGTTCATTATTATGGGAATACGAATAAATAAATCACTTTTGCTTTACATTTCATTGACCGTTTTGTATTTGTACTTGCGAATAGAGTGGAACTGGTGAAGAATAAACATAACTACCTGGAAAATCGAAATCAAAATGATTAAGATAACCTATATAATTTCACAAAAATATCTCTTTATATAATATGAACTGTGACTAACAGTAGGATCCTGAACACGCGTCCTCGATTACTCTGTCAGTCACATGCCATCTCTACATAAACCCGTGAAATAATGTCGATATCAAGACATTCAACGTCGGATCCACATATCCCAACTAACAATGACCAAGATTTAGTCGAGATACCAACAACAGGATAATACAAACCATGATGAATTGAATTTCTTTACACAGTATGAACTGATACATGTTATCAAAATAATTTGTGCCGATGTTATTTTGTGAGCTAAGGTGATAGGTTCAATTTGTGTAAAGACAGACTAACGTTTAAATATATTTGTGTAATAATGTAAATCTTTTTATTTAATCTCAAATAGTGTTCCATTTAGACGTTATTTTGTTTTCTAACAGTAATATCACTGTCTGGGACTACAAGTCAGAATGTAGCCACCCGTTTGAGTACTACGGATCCATGTGATGATTTTGATCGTTACGCTTGCACAGAGTGGGTGAGAAACAATCCAGTATCGAATAAGGAACAGGAGACTAACACTTTTAAGAAGGCCGGAATTACCACTGACCATTACTTCTATAATATCATTGGCAAGTATTTTCATATTACTAACAATATGATTTGGTTGTATTTATTTATGTTCTCCTATTATTTTCATATGAAATGATATAGTGTAAACGGTTGAAACGAAACTAATCACTTCAAGTAACCGAGACTCACCTGACGAGCAGTGATGGACTTTTCAACTAAATAAGAATTTAACGGATTTACATCAAGAACAGAATTGTGACTGACAATTGTTGAAAATCAAAGAGTACTGTATACCTAATTCGAACATTCGTAATAGAGTGTAATAAATCAGACGAATAAAATTAGTCATAATCGAATCGCATAATTCTGTAGGCTTTCTAACGAGTTACTGCATATATATTCTCTAAATCACTTTTCATACACAATTACTTTTAACAGGTGATCTAGAATTCACATTCAACAGTACTCGAATAAGTTTAATATAACTATGACTGTTGGGGGTACAACTTTATAAACATGACTAGGCTATAAGTTAAGGAAGATGGGTTCAACGAAGAGTCCTGTTTTTGGCGAATTCATTTTCAAAGCTGTACAACAGCAAATTTGTACTTACCTTTCAAAATGATAATCATTACAATAATAGTGATATTAATATTCCGTTAAACATGGTAACAGTGATGTCAATAAAACAACAGTATTATCTTATCATGCTGATCTTTTCTTTCTCAACTATAATTTCCCTATCCATCTTCATAATAAATAATCATGCCCTTAACAATAAAACTATTATTTATCTCCCCTGATTAAAGTAACGTTTTTATACCGTTGTTTATTCTACTTCACCGTTACAATGATTAACGTAATTTTATTGTCACTATTATTGTAATTATTATCATTTTGAAAAATAAGTACACGTTTGCGATTATACAGCTTTGAAAATGAATTCGTTGAACCAATCATTCTTACCTTGTGTCTCAGTGAATATATTCCGTTTACTTATATTATGAGTAACTTGTTCCAGATTGTCTCTATTCATGTGATTTGTAAATCTATTTGATTATTTCACTCCTTAATCACAATTCTCACAAACATCGACTTTTTCAAATTAAGCTAACAAGTCATATGCCTTGGATGATCCACACATTTTTACTGCTCGCGAATTTTACGAAGCTTGTTTAAAAGCTCCTCATGATTCCGCTAATCATGTTGCAAATCAATTTCGTCAGTTAATTTCGATGCTATTTGGTGAATGGGATTTATTGACATCTTCAACAAATATGACAAATGCATCTGATGGTGCTAGAAATATTCTAAATTTGAGTTTGACTGATTTATACCTACCACTGTTAAGCACAACAGGGCATTCACCCTTGTTTTCATTGGATATCGACGAAGAGGATCGAACAATTCGAGTAAGTTGATTTCATAATATATTATGGATAGCAGTTCGACTGTAATAAATAAATGACAAAATTAAACACCATCTAACTGACCAAAATAATAAATACTATTCATAGTATTCCAGCTTAGTAAGGACACTGCGATCATTCAGCCATAATAGTCAACCAGTAATGCAATGGATTCACAGTGCCAAGTGAAACAACACTACAGTAAGTTATCTATATCAACTAAACGAAATAGTTTGATTAATTAGAAACCCGAGTGCTAAATTATCAGATTAGTTTCCCGAATCACATAACTTGAACATCAAATTGTATGAGGTTTGCTGTTTATGAGAATGCTGTAACCAACAATAAGTGATTATTTAAAAAAACAGTGTATCAATTTTAAATGGGTATTGCGAATTTGATTTTCATTGATTGTTTTGCGTCAGTGACATGTTAACGAAAAACGAATCTCATCATCCTTAATTTAACAATCCAATTGTATGACTGTATTACTAAAACAAAAAATCATACCATGGTAACCTGATAATACATATTATCTGACTACAAATCATAAAACATAGTTGAGATAAGCAAACCATGAACTATGAATCTCCAGGTTATCTTGCAATATTTTATCGTAATATACTGGTCCGAACTTTAAAAGGAAAATCACTGATATCATGAAAGCTAACACAAGGTATACGGCATCATGATGATCATTTTCAACAACATAACATCAAAATATAATGTGCGAGATGTCGGTTAACCGTTACTGATTACCTCACCGTTCATTTAATCAACACTATTAAGTAGAAATTCTTCATATTGATTAACAATCCAATTATTTAGTGTTAATATTTCAGTTGTTAAGGAAGCGTGTAGTACTCCAGTATAACATTGTAATTTTTTATTTACACTTTATAATATTGAACACATAAAGTGAAGTAATAAGTCACAGCACCGGAAAAAATTATTGTACAAGGAATACGTAATTAGGCGTTTCTTGTTGTATTTAATACTTCTTCTGTATTACTCCGCAGCAAACTAAGTCGATGTCTGGTTGTCGAATTCAAAAACTTGAATCAAACAAACAATTTATAATCAAGTAGCCGATTAAAAATGCCTTTCGTTATTTATTTGTAACGAATAAAGTAGATTTCGTCTTAGAACATGGATCGATAAATCCTCTTTTTATTTAGAAACACACCATTGAATCTATCGTTAATTTCATTCCTTACTACCACAACATCTTCCGAGAATACACCTTATACTGCTAACGAGTTGACCATTATTTAGTTAACCACTGTTTCACATTTAACAATTTCGAAATTTCCATGACTCGGAAATACCACAGAGCCAAGCGTTTGAGAAGTAGATAGTTCATGCAAATATTCATTAAATTTATACCCGACTATTAAAATATGTATGAATATTGGTAAAATTCGGATAGCATCTGAATATCTGTAAACGATCTGGGAAACCAGTTAGTCTTTTGAGTATTTTAGGCTGAAAGTTTTGTTATTTGATAAATGCTAACCATTATGCTGTATACTCTCACTTTCCCAGTCTCCTTCTAAATGTTTTTTGGAACTGTGTTCCTCTACGTGTTTCATAATATTTTGAATGTTGATAAACTCAGACGGTTCCTTATATTATTACATTTTTATCAATCTGTATGAATTCTAATATAATTTCACTTCTCTTAGATCTATCCAGGTCAGCTAACTTCGGATCAAAATCTCTTGAAGAAGGTAATTTACAGATTATATTAGTCACTCTCAATGTTAAATTTACTGATCCGGAACATAATTCATTGTCCGTTGTATTATTTATTATCATTCACGAAACACATTCAATGAATGTCAATAATCTGACTGTACTATATTTCCGTTTACAGAAATTCACAAATCGTAACACAGATTATTTTATGATATTCAGATAGCATGTAGTAGAAAATTGAGTAGAAAATTGAAAGTCTGACGAATTGAGACTTAATGCAAGTGAAATATTCAGAGAGCCGAAAATTCCTAAATTAAACTAAGACGATCTTAGTTATTACAAACACACAAAAAAGAATATTTGGCGCAATGAAAACCAGGCCACCTCCAAAATCTCACACATAGAGAGGTGAAATTAATAAATTAAATGTCAGCTACAAAATACGTTGCACCAACTGTGAGATGAAGTACATCAGACAAAGTGGATGCCGCTAATACTTGTACTTATAGAAAAGTTAACAAGCAGTGAAATGACACTACTTGCTATCACTATTATGAAAGCACACATACAACTATGGAAACGTCCTAAGAATGTCAGAGAATTATAATAGAGTGATATTTTGGTAGACAGAGAACAATGGATTAAATAATTCAGTTTATACGAAAATGTTCAACTTGTCGCATAGTCTAACATTAGACGGAAAATGCTTCTCAGTGTAATCCAAAAGCACAGGAAGTCAACAAAATCTACAAAAACAATCATCCACAAACAATGAGATTTGAATGGATGTTTTAGTTGATTACGTGTGTAATAAGTTTTAAATCATCTAAAATCATCTATTTTACTGAATGTCTGTCCGAAATAGATGATGGTGATGTTATTCACAGGGATCATAAGAGTTACAGAACAAAAACATACAACTCTCAGTGTACGAGATCACACGAAACAAAGTACTTTACATTAAATAGTATCAGTACCTTATTCACTGTCAAGGGTTAAACTGGGTGATACAATACTGATTGGATTTGATAACACGTTTATTTATTCAGAGAAAACAGATGTGGCCACTCTGAACAAAATAGTTACATGGAACTGATTCTTTATTTTAAACTTATAATTATTAGGCAGTTATATACATACAACAATCGAAAATTTCAGAAATTATAGTTGTCAAGATAAGCATGACAAATCACTTATGTATCACAAATTTGTCATCAAAGTTCGATTATGTTTTGATTATCACCTTTACAATAAATGCAACATTGTATCCTCTTTTCATAACAATATGTTGCATTTCTTCTTTCAAATAGGATGGACTGCTAGACCTGAAGATCATGTTTTATAAGTCATTTATTTCACTAAATCTGAATATGTCACAGAACACAAAGCTTGCACGTACTTTTCAGTTATTCGACCGCCTAGTGAATGTGAGTTGCTTGATGTTTGTTATGACTTACTTTCTAATATGTGATGCTGAATATTACATGTTGTAAGTTATACATTCCACATGAATGTCGAGTTGTATTGCACAGAAATATAAATTGATAACAAGTTATGAGTCCTTTATTCACTAAACACAATATATGACTGTGAACTGAAAGTTGTATTACCTCAATCAGACAGTTGTTACTAATGAAAATAAATGATGACTCAACAGTAAATGATTCTTGAAAGTTTGAAGCGTAGACCAAACTCAGTACTATGAACATAACCTACTCACCAAGAAATTTGAATGTACTAGGTTCGATATTAGCATACCGAAACGTATACACTACTTGAAAAGTGAACAGATATCATGCTAACCTCAAATCTACTACGGTTCATCAGCAGTAGTCATTCCGCTCAGTAAATTATCCCCTCATTCACCTGAGAGTACACTGACTACTGAGTATACGTAATCACCAAACCCTAGGATTTATGTTTCATCTGGCTATTTCAGGTCAGTGGGCGTTCCGCTCACAAGAAAGTGATATTAACGATGGTAAAACTAATTGCTCGGACAAATGTATTTCGTAGGTTTTTATCGTTTCAAATCGAAAGGTTCACTGGTTGGTTCTTATAACAGTAATGAAAGATATCTTCCAAAAATTATTCTATTTGCAGTAGGTACAATAAAATCACTTACGTAAGGGAAACTCACTCCATGGAATCCATGTAGAAATATTAAAATATCATATTCAGTTTCTTTATATACCAACCGGAGTCTCTTGAAATGTCCCTGACAGAAATAATCAAACGCTAGTTGTGAAAACCTATTTCAACCTACCTACACGTTAATCACAAGCAGTTGAAAATGCAACTAGTGTATTACTATTTAATATTATTTAATATCACTTAAACAAGATATTTAAAACACTCATTTGTTGAGAAATTCCATTTCCATGCTTTACAAAATTCTCATTTCATCAATAAATGCATGTTATGTTTTGTATCAAGCACAAAATTAGAGTTTGGTTATTTTCATGTATTTAATCGTTGCCTTGGTTTTATTTCTCAGGCTTTCTTGGATCCACAAACATCCTCAACTTATAAAAAAAGCCAAACGGTTAGCATGGATGAACTGAAGGCCATTTGTCCACCGGTAAATTCACTTGTATCGTTTTAAACTGCATACGAATTTTAAAAAGTCTTCTACTGATGCTTATAAACCACGAGAGGAAAGGTTGAAACCAGTCATTTTGATAGATTATTCGGTGACACCAAACTAAAATAAATGTCCTTGTGATATAAAAGTATATAAATGGTTCCCCATATCAACTAGACATATACCAGTTAGACCATGCTTTACACACTTTCTAAACTAACGTGAAACGAGATTACATTTCAATATCGTGCACACACTGTCGAGTCACCTGGACTGATAGCCGCATTACAACATGATCGATAGAATTCAATATAGACAGTAGTGAGACCTAACATAAAATTTAGTAAAAGTCTAGAATATTAGATAAGTAGACAATTTCACTATTATACTGACTGGAGTACTAATTCAGTAATACTGCTTTACGAATATCAGACATATTTTACATCATCTTAGTAGGTGAGGATTGTCAAATTTCTTCATTATCACAAACATAATGACAAAATTGAACCCTTTGTTGAAAGTAAATTTTGATAATTTACAAAACTGTCTGTTTAGATCGATTGGGATTATTTATTTGACAAATCGTTCAATCAAACTGGATTTAGAAGCCACCATAAATTACCAGTAAAGGTTGAAGAAAAACATGCATTACAATATTATTGTGCATTCCATGAAATTCAATTGGAAACAGATGAAGACAAAAGGTAATTGCTGAAATTGAATTTTTGTTTGATTATTTGCTTTTGAATTAATCAAAAGACAGTAGTAGTGATCAAGTATGACAATGCTGGATGATCACTTATAAACAATGGATTGAAATCTTTTTAATTTGAAATTTCCAAGGATAACGTCTTCGTCAGGAATGCATATTGTGGAAAGCAATATAAAATCTGTCATATTCTGAGAGAATACTTTATTTCCTATATAAGATACGTCAAACAGTAATGGATGAATCAATCTTCCTTGAGAATCTCAGATTATTTAATGTAAATATCTTTTTGGCTTGACCTAAAATAACGAACATTCTATAAACAGCGAATAAAGTCTGCATATATTGAGGGTTCAACAAGCATTCTAAGTACTTTAATTATTTTCACGAATTAATTTACTAGTTTTATTTTGAATGGGCTATATGTTAAGCCGTTTAATATGTTTCTGAAGTGGCGTTTTAAGTACATCTGGGTAGATTATTCGAAGGCGTTTCGGGTAAATTATTTTATTTATAGGCTGTGTTTGTCAGAAATCATTCTCGTTTGGGGTACCAATGAATAATAAAGATAACTTGATAAGTGTTTCGTTATGGTATCGGACAACTCATCAGTGTACATTTAAAATGAGAGTCGTCAGGGATCATTCCATTTGTTCGAATGGTTGGGAATCTTTGGCGAAATATGGATGTTCCGGTTTTGATCACTGGTATGGTCGTCGGTCTTTATTGCTCACGAGTCTATGTTAGACTAAACCACCTGTTCAATGTCTCCTGGTATACAGTGACACTAACTGAAATAAATGTTTCTCGAGTCCAACTTATATCTAAGGATATAAACCCATGAGAACTAGACCATCCAATCACATGGTCTGAAGTCAACCGAATAAAACAGCCAACAGAAATGCAACCCACTTTAAGGTATTAAAACCCACGAATATATGACATAAAATATTAGCTCCTCAGAAATTTGATTATTTACTACTTATTGAGTGAATTTAAAAATCTTACATATACTCTCAGTAAAGTGACAATCAAATCTTCACAAATAAATTTTCAAATAAGACAAATTCGCTCAAACAAAAAGCATTTATTTGAACTACCAATTCTGTCATCCATTTCTAACATTTGGAATTATGTTGAGATATGGTAGAGAATGAAACCGGAAGAAGTGAATTTACTTATATTGTTCTTTTCATAGAACTGATTGTTATTAAAGTTTATGGCAAACAATATAATATGATAATCACATTTGCTAAGCAGTCAAACAATAATAAATGTTTTGCTTTGTTTCAATTTTCAATGATCTTCTCAAAGTGCGCTCTACAACCTGGCTATTTTGAATTTTTTGGCGGAACAGGAACGTCGTTTATTCAATCAGAAAAATTTTGATTCCGCACATAAATCAAATCCAAGTGAATTGAAAAATGTTATATAATTATTGTTATTTTGTTAGAATCCATTCATCAAACGTATTACTAGCATCTTTAACAATTATGTCTAGTTTGATGCATGTTCACGAATGATCGCGCCATGCTTTAACAATATCCTTAAGAATTAGTTCTGTAGTAGATAGTCAAATAGACGAAATGCGTTCTCTCTTCAGTCGGATCTGCTTTTAAGTTTAATTAAAATGAAGATTCTATAGACTTAATAAAATACACCAGTATGATGAATGTTACGTAAAGAATATAAAATCATCAAATCTTTATTATGAGCCAAGTTACACCGATATCCTCAGTTATATGATGAATCACTCTATAGTTGCATGATTTAATTCAGTAAATTGATTACCGTACATATCATATGCACATTTTTAAAACAACTTACTATAAATTCAATAAACTCTTCATGTATCTCTTTAACAAAATTCTTTCCAATATTTTGTGTTTTGACTAGACAATACTACATACTTCTCACCTTATTGCATGGATCGAGTAAAGGTCGTTTTTCCATGGACACTTGAAAAGCATTTCCTGACTTCTCGCATCACTCAAAACCAACGAAATGAGGTTTGCTCAGCTTGTCAAACAGTCGTCCTATCACTGTAAATTTTAATTTAATATTTCAGACTAAGCGCAGAACTACAAGTCAACCAATTTCGATCAGATGTGTTACACTATGATCTGTAACTGACATTCAGTAAAATTTCGGGCATTGATTTCTTACTGAGTTTAACAGTAGCAAGCAACACAAATCGCTGTTCAATACTGTTACTAATTTACGTGTTTAGTCATGTACATGTTCAATACGGATCCTCAAGTTGAAGTAATCACTGAAACCAGTAACCACAAACTGAAGGAGAGATATTTCAGAAGTTATTGTCAGACAATCACATAGCACTGAAAAGTTACCATTCAACTCAAGTCAAGTTATTAATACCAACAGATATTTCATGGTGTGAATAGTGAACATTTTGCATAAAGATATATTTATGTAAGAATATTCTACTCATAATTACCTTTCAAGTTAACATAACTGTGTGCCAGTTGGGGGAACTGTACTAAATCATATGCACGCTCAGCAGATTTTTATTCGTTGAGAGTATATATGCTAGTTTGATTAACAACAAATACAATTTTGAAATCCGTTCAAAAAACACCTAGAAGTGATGTAGCGTTGTGGACTTACAGGTGTTTAACTGGATTACGAAGATCTCTACATCTCATAGGAAGCACGAAATACAATGAACGGCTTGGATGCACTTAGTAAATTTGACCTCGCCGACCAACTAGCTCGTCCATTCCGTACACACCAACAGATGCTGGTGTAACCAGCCAATGTGGAAGCAGTCTCTGTAGCATTAGGCCTCAGTTGACATAGGGAAAAAGCAAGATCACGAATTACAAAACAGAGAACACCAGCCCAATTACACTTGATGGGGAGGCTTTGGAAGAGGTGGAAAATTCCACGTATCTGGGTAACATAATCCATGAAGAAGCAGAATCCAATGCAGGCCTAAAAGTGTGAACTGGTAAAGCAAAAGCAGCATTTCTATAATTAAAGAACATACGGAACTCAAGACAATTGTCAGCCGATGTGGTAGTTAGAAGCTTCAATACAAACGTCAATACATTTCTACTGTAAAGAGTCAAAACGCCCTGATTTACTACAACTATCATCAAAAGGGTACAAGTATTTATAAACAGTTGTCTACACAAGATATTGAATGTCCGTCGACCGGATATCATCAGCAACAGTTTAATTTGGAAGAGAAAAAACCAGCTTCCTGCTGAAGAAGAAATTGGGAAAAGACGTTGGACATGGATAGTACGTACACTGTGAAAATCATCAAACTGCATCATGAGGCGACCCCTAACTTGGGATTCTGAAGGAAAACGGAAAAGTGTAAGACTTATTGACACACTGTATGTGGAATTGGAAGCAGGTATCAAAAGGATGAATAACGACTTGAAACAACTGGACAGGTTTGCTCAGATCAGAGTTCGATGAAGCAAGCTAGTGGATGGCCTGTGCTCCTCCACGAGGGTTGACAGGTGTAAGTGTTAAGCATTAGATATTAAATTAACAGACCAGTGTAAACCTTAACTGTGATAAGTGCTTAATGAAATCAAAATATATTTGTGGTAAAACTTGAAGCACCTCTGATGAGACCCCATTCTCAACTAGATTGCTATCTTTCATTAAAAGGTTCAACAACTAGTTGAAGAAATGAAAAGCTCCATATTTGAATCAGTCACGCAAGCCACATGGTTGGATGACAGTACAAAACACTTTTTCAAGGACAAGGTTAGCTTAATTTTTAATCAGAATGACATATTTGTAACGATTTAATACATGTTATAGATTAACCAAACCAAGGCTTTCATTTTATACTCGAATGTGAATGGATCAGAAAGAAGAGAAGATCTTTCAGAAATATACGGAGTGAGTTTGATGAAAACGAAACAATTCCTTCGTTAGGATAATTATTAATCTTACTGTGTACACGTTAAACGGCTGTGTTTACAACTTTTTGATACCGTAACATATTTAAAGCTGAATTATTCGTCTCTTCACACTACTTTGAAATAATGCAAACCATATTACATAACATGACAAATGATTTGTCGCATGTTTACAACATTCCAAGTGCACACCAGAAACGAGAGCTTATTTTTAGCTTGAAGATTTGGTTCCATGATTCAACTGCTTTATAAATGACGTTAGTTGGTGATTATAATCAAATTAATATTGAACACATCCGTGTACACGGTGTCATATCTTTCTGAAGATAAATTACACCAGGCTAAATTAAAATGACATTTGATAAATCGAGTTTACTTAATTTTTCCTACGTAAATTCATCATCATCATTCTTACTCTTAAATTTCAGTATCCTATAAATGCTGAAGATCATATTTTAAATGAGTATTATGCACAGAAATCCATATATTCAGAGAAATTAAGAAGAAGCATTAAAAAAGCTGGTAAAATGTAAGCCATCATTTTTCTATCCAACATTATGTGGTTTAAAACTTTGTTTGTATTTTGGCCATAAATCAAGAAGAGTATCTATATTGATGCATCTAGTTGACACTGATCACCAAATAGTGAAATAACGCCCACTCTTCACCTTAACACCAATGGAAACTGATTTGTCTTACATGAAAATTTACACTAGATACCCTGCCAGTGTCTTTTCTACAGGACATCAACACAACTGTAATCAAGAATAGGTGATTAGCTTGACTATAACGTAAGCATATTCCAACGTCAACAACCGACAATAATAATAACCAAAAGAAAACGGGTAGGAAAACATAAAATACATCTAATAGCTGTCAGGCCATCTACTAGTCTGTCTAGGTAAACAACTGATCACTATTTTCCTCGCCCACCCATCATATAAATAAAAGTTCAGCGTTTAGAATTATTTATAGAATCCCACCTGATTTACCCTATGGTTCGAGAATCTGATTCTTACAGTAGAAGCCATAGAAATACAGGGAGAAAATCCTAACCTTTGTGCACAGAAAAAAAGTCATACATCCCTTGAATCTACCTTGATCTTTTACTTAAATAATATGACATGTTTGAAAACCTTTCATTCTCTTTTAGAATTTTCTGAACATCGATTTTGTTAAGACTTTAATTTCTAGTGCTAATCTTAAGTAACCTGTTTGGTAATCTTATTATATAATTTCCACCGAATTCATCCTACCAATTGCTTACCATTAATCTCACTGTTAACAGAAAACACTTGTATTTTGAGTCTTGTTCCTACTCTTATGTAACTGCTTATAATAATTGAGTGGTTACGAAAATTCACTTTTGTTTTCATTTTCATTTTCCAAACGTTGTGTAATTAAGTGATTATTATATTGGTTAATTGATTCACCACCATCTAATAAGTATCAACTGTTCATTCATTTGTAAAACATTTTTGTTAGTGTAGAGGTCTGATAAAGAACTTATTAAAAAAGACAATTTCTTCACGTTGCTTACGTTTTTACATAGTGCTGTTTCACGAAAATAGAATGTCCAAGTGTAAATATGTAGACGTTTGATCTACACATTATAACTCTATTGAGTATTGTGAACCCAATCGTTCTACAATCATGTGAATAAAACACCGACGCATAACGAATGATGATTAAACATGGTCATCCGATAATTTTGATGACAACCACAAAACTTCACTTTCAGAATGCAATGTGAGTTATAATGGCGAGTTAGCAAACGAAAACAAGTGATTCTCTTTGGTCAAGCGAAACAAATAATAAAAACGTAGTGAGAAAACATTCAAAAACAAATAACTCAGAAACATAAATTACCAAATACTGATTAACAGTGTAGATTGCATTAAGGATGTTAGTGAGGAAATCCCACTTGAACTGACTATACTCACATCCATCAAACATATTTAATGCAGATATTGATGTATAGTTAAAAGTTGACAAAATGACTAGTTCTGTAACTGCCTGAATACTTATGTCTCAAATAACTAATATTCACTCATTCATCCAATCTCAATACTGTGTTAAACATGTCTTTAGTCAATGTACTATTTCATTATAGTAAATTCACTCGCATTATTGTTCTGTAATAACGAAGATTTACGACTCATTATAGAAATATCTCTGTTATTCAAGATGGATCAATGTAAATTGCACATAATAATGCAAACATCTTTCTAGTGAAACAAACTACCAGATATTAAAAGGCACGTAATGGATTATATTTGGTAACCAGTGAATTGGTAGCTTGTATCAATCGTAAGATATTCCACATTAATGAGTGGTACTTTAAACAACCATTTGATAGTAATAAGACCACAAGTATATAACACTATATTCACTAAAATAGGTTATTCCAATCATGGTTTACATTTGTAAATTATCATGACTACTTGATATTTCAGTGTTATAGTTGAGTTTTACTAACGTGTTTAGACATATTGATGCATTTCGATAATGCAATGAGAAGACGAAGTTTATCAGAATTATGTGATATATTTGAGCAATACATTTCGAACAATCTAGTCACATATATAAATGTACTGCGCAAATATACCACATAATTCTGATAGACTTCGACTTCTCATTGCATGATCGAAATTTATCAAAGGGACTAATTGTTTTAAACACACTGATGCACTGATTACCAATCTGAGGTTTGATGCTACATTATTTATTATGTGATGTTTGTATTCATTTTGGAATAATTAGGTCGCTACGTGATTCACCAACTTATTTACCTGAGGCCTACTATTTGAAAAATTTAAACCGCATATATATTTTTGCCGGATTGATGCAACCACCATTTTATGAAAAGGATGAAGATTTATCCACCAGATACAATGGATTGGGTTGGATTATCGCCCATGAACTTTTACATGCTATAGATCTTATAGGTAATTTGCCTGAGAGTATTTTACATTGTAGTATACGCACAAGCAATTATCCTGTTTTATATTTTGATCAATAAAATACAATCACCTCCGATTACTTGAGGTTAGTTGTTTTCAGAGCAGTTAGATAATATTCATCTAAAACTGAAAGATCGATGACATTCTTCCTAACCTTAATTTTATATCCAATATTCCACAACAAAGAGATTTGACCTCTTGATTGTTTTTCGACACGCACAATATGCTCTAATCGGACTGACCTCTTATTTTATAAGACGCATTAAATTTGTGTTACTTTTGATTTCGTCGGCAATTCAACTACGAAACATTAAGAACAATACATCTTTATCGCCGTTTTCACTGAACAGCATGAGTTTATGTGATTTTGCAAACTGATTGGTCCACCTACCACACTTAAGTGGTTTGGTAGCTATATAATCTATTTCAAGTAGTTGTAAGATATAGTGTTAAGGATGTATTCCGATTCGCTGACAAAATCAAAAATGCAAATACTTCGGGACTAAAGATGATGTCTTTGGATGTAACATCATTATACACAAATGTCCCACTCATAGAGACCGTAGAATATATAGATGAACAACTGACTGAAAATGAAATTGAAACTACAGTTCGTATTAATGTCGCAAAAGAGTCATTACTCAAATGCACTATAAATGTGAATTTCAAGTTCAACGGAGAAATATATAGACAAACAGATGGTGTTGCAATCGGATCAACACTAGGCCCTATACTAACTGATATTTTTCTAGCCAAACTAGAAAGTGGTCCACTAAAAAAGATTATTCGAAAATTCACATTTTACTGTAGATATGTGGATGACACATTCATCATCTGTAAAGATAATGCATCACAGTAAGAGGTTCTTAGGCACTTCAATGAACTGCATTTAGCCATTTAGCTTACATCTGAAGAAGAGAGTAATGGTCGAATAGTCTTTTTAGACGCCCTCTTAACTAAGAGAGCGGAACTTAAGCAGAAAAAATACCCGAACTGAGCAGTATGCGCATCACCTTAGCTTTGTACCACTACAGTACACACGGAACCTGATCAAAACCCTTAGTTACAGAATACCCACCATATGTTTTAACGGATATACTTGAAGATGAGCTAAACACCTTGCATAACACTCTCAGGGAGAACAGTTACCCTAGAAAGTTTATAATTCAATATATGATCACGAAAGTGAGAATAGACAAAATACAAAAGGTGAATAAGAAATCCATGTTCATGAGCCTGCAATTCAGAGGGGATGCGGCTAGCGAAATATTAACCCACAGATCACGCAGGGCAATACGAAAATCTTCCAACGCCGGAGAACTACGATCACTGTTTTCTACGCGCCTAATGGTGACACTGAAGCTAAAAGATGAATTACCTAGAATAACCACCTCATTTCGTATTTATCAGTTCCTATGGAGCAAGTTATATTGGTCGGAGTTCTAGAAGCTTAGCTATTCGTGTTCGCGAACACCTCCCAGCGTGTCTAATCAAAGGTCTAGTGAAGAAAGTGGACAGCTCGATACAAACTCATTTAGTACAAACTGGTCATGGTGCCAGTATAACCCAATCCTTTTCAATTATTCATAGTGTCAATAATTTTTTGCCAAAGCTTGCCCTTCAAACGGCTGAAGTAGTAGTCATCCAGATGAAGAAACCGGAGTTCTATGTACAAAATAAATATCTTCAACCGCTCTTCCTCCATTGGCCAACCTCAAGGCCAATTAATCAATAGTAATCTGAGCTATTGAATCACCTAATTTGACCATTTTACTTACGACCTTTTGTAGTCAAGTGTAACGGTAGTAGTACTAGCATTCGTATTAATTTAATTACTATTGGTTAAACATCAATATTAATTTCCCCAGTACATGATTCATTCAATTTGCATTCATCCTAATTTTTGCACTAAACATTTGATCGAATTGTAATTGCACTATTATCTTTCTCACCACATTTACTGTGATCATGGATCTTGAATTTTCACTTAACATATATGTACATTCAAGTTAGCATTCTATATGAGTCATATCAACGTCAACCTGAATATAAGAAAATATTTAGCTATACTTGGACGTTGCATCAGACAACCAAAACATTTTTAACAAATGTGTACATCTAACATAAGTTCGTGTATCGAGTGTTAACTAGAACATCATTCACTGTGTATTTATATTAAAGTGGATTTACCAATTCACACAAACTGACGCTCAGAGACGTCAGTAAATAGAGAACAGTGTCAGTGAATGTAGATTTCTAACTTTGAATGACGAATAAATGTACTACTAATAGTACTATAATGCAGGTATAAACAATTCATAACTCTACAAGAAGAGGAAGAAATTCCCACAAATAATAAACTTTTCTAATGTCATTCAATAACACACTGTAAATGAAAATGAATCAGGTTTGAATCTATTTACTTATTTCTATATAAATATAAGGTGTTCTCGAGGATATCAATGGGAATCAACGATCAGGTAAAGATACTTATGCAGGATTGATTGCAAATATGAGGCAAACAGATTGTCTACGATCTCATTACAAAAACCATTCTGATTCGTTTGAAAAGGTAAGTGTTTCAGAACAATAAGCCTTTATACAGATAATTACCATTTACATAAATGGTTCATATAATTACCTAGTGAAAAATACTAATTTCAGAAGGGACGATTGAGTAAAGTGAAATATTCATGCAAGTTTCCGAATTCTTCCACCTCCACCCAATATTCTGAGCATTTTAGTTAAAGTTTTACCTAGAGTTTTAAAAATACATAACCTCTTTCCAAACGAAATGATTACTTGAGGAATTCATTTCAAAGTGATAACTTTTCCTCTACGAAGTCAATTTTTCTAGGTTCGTGACACGCATAGGAAAGTTCGTATGTTACCTGTTTCCATCCAACCAGAGCTGATCTGGAATATCGATCGCAATAGATATGATTGAGCACGGTAATCCATGTGTATATTGTCGCGGAACAGATTCATTCAAATCGTGTTAATGTTTACAAGCATGAGAAATAAATTAGTAATTTCCATGTTTTATTGGGGCTTGGTAAGCACTATTACGAATAACTTGAACAGAAAACAAGTTTCAAGATACTGAAAATTCAAATCCTACTCAATGAAGGTAAGTGATAATATAGTTCACAATTTTCAGAAGAGCCTTCCAAATAAAAGTGGCTGAGTTAAGGACAGTAGTAAGAGTTACAAAGTTACTATTTGTAAGTGAGAATGGCTTATTGAAAGTAAAACACTACCAGTGTTGTTTAATTGCTGCTGCAGAATAATTATCGTGTCTGCAAGATATCATTTATATTAAGTGCAAATTAATTCATTGAAATAAAAATCAACATTGTAGGCGAGTATACAGTAGAGTGAGAACTGCCTAATTAGGAATTCGATACATGCTGCTTTGTGATTGAAATAATCATTAAATATTGTGATATTTAATACCGATTCATGTATTTTTAGTACAAATCCATTTCTATTTTCTGAAATAATCTGTTCGATCATACAACAATTAAACTGTGAATAGTTCTAGCAGAATAAGTTTTTTCATCTTGAAAACGTATTTATGAGTCCAGTGAATCCATGAGATTTCGAGTGGTCTCTTCAGTTGTAGTAAATAGAACAAAATAAAATGATCAGTTTAATTCGTTATAAACCTTGATAAATATTCCTCATTTTCTCTAAATTCAACTTATTTAGAGCGATAGAATTGGGACGCGGAATGAAATTTTGGCTGACAATGGAGGATTGAAAATAATGTACAATGTATGTGAATAAATTAAATGTAAATATCATATGGCGATGTAATGTCATTCTACAAGACATAAGGTTTGATTGTGTGACCGTAAAACTTAATACTCATATCAAATTCCAGATAGGTAGATTGGAACGCAAGTTCACAGTATGAACAGTCTGAAACACGCATATGATCACGAGTTATCAGTTTCAGAAGCAGAAATTGAATGTTTCTCAGCGTTCCCTTTTGAAATAGGAAATCCATTCATCTGTTTTCTTCAATGACGATTAGAATTGTTGAGTAATAGACCGATTCTCAAATCCAGCCAGTTTATGATTTTGTATGGTAGTAATCCGATATCACCATTCTGTGATCACCTTACTCCGAACATACCTAACTTCATAGATCAGGCTCCTAATTAAAACACTGAAAACCAGTCTCAAAGCTAACAATTGTCTGATACTATTCACTGTCAGAAGTCACCTCTCTCATCTACATATATATTTCAAATCATTCGAAATCTTAATTGTCATACAATCCACCAGTAATTTAGTATTTGTTAACGATAAATGAGTTAGTTATCCGAACAAAAATCTAGATAAACACAAGTAGGTAAAAGAAATCTAATTGAACTAAATTACAACTGAAATTAATGTTAACACTGATTGACTGTTTGTATGATATTGTCAATACTTTAGTCATGAATGATAAATATCTCATGTGACTGTTCCAACTACTTTTCAGACATACCGGAAATTGCAAAATAGACAACGTGTTCAAAATTCAAGCGAACTCTTAGCTTCCGATAGATTATTTTTCCTGAGATTTGCACAGGCAAGTTGGTCAATATGTTCCCTTATTTGTGTATAGCATTCAAGATGGGAATTATTAAAAGTTACGTGCATAAATAAGGTTTTACAAGTGATTAGTATGTGAAAAATCTAAAACTATTCAAATAGGATACAAAGAAGACAGTACAAGCTTGTAATGATAAAATCATGGTGTATTTTTGATAAATTAATGAATTGAAATTAGAATTTCAAATGTTTCACAATTTATTCTAAACTGCTTTTTTCAGTTAGCAAAAAATAAATAAGATAATCAAATGAACAAAAGGTTGATTAGAAAATAGTATTCAATCAGAATATTTAGTCCAATGGAAAATGAAATCAAGATTAGCATGGTTAAATCAGTGTCAAGTGAATAGACAAATATATATTAATAACATTCTATCAAATGTTCTGTTCGTTTGAAATCATTAAATTAATGTGGAGCGACACACGAACCGATCGTGTAAAATTATCAAGTTGTAAAATGTCAGCCTACCTACTATATGCACTTTACAAATATAAGCCTAAGACTTTCATGTTCACTTAAGAAACTGCATTGTAAGCACACATTTTTTTCCCTTTTCATTGAATACTCATTAAGCATTTGCAAAATGTGTGTTCTCTTGAATAACAGTCCTTTAGTTAACTCTCTCTTGAATGAAGTTAATCATTGACGAAATGTTCCTCTAAAAGTATTTATACACTTCGATTTTGAGCACAACTTTTATATGTGGATTTAACAATTATGAAGAAATTCTTTTTCATTAGCTTTGAGCTTTAATAATGATCAACGTTGTATTTAATAATCCGTGGAAGTGATTCGAAATCATTTCAATCAGTTATTTGACTTGATAATTACCAGGAGAGCCATAAAATGTTTCTAATAAAATCATTCACCGATACAAAATATAACAATATTTTTGTAGACTATTATTGGTACTGGATCAAATGAAGTACCAGTGAGCGTAAATTTTCCACTTTCGCTATCTACCGAGCCTGGGTATCCCGTTTCGTGGATACTTTAAAATCGTTATCCTTGTAAAGTGGAATGGTTCTTCGTTAGTAACAGAAGTAAAAGCGTTTTCTGTCTTTTGAAATATGTTTATCTCTTACATACTTTCATTCAAAATGTGTTTTAAGCAACTTACTGATTATTGAAGCAAATAATACAATCAATATTTAGCTATCATTTTACTAATGATGCCTAGTTGATTATATAACTAGTAATGTGAATTTTAACAAATATAATATCATAACATGGTAATTTAAAAATGCGATTGTTGGTCACATGCTATTTTGTATTCTGTGTCTAATTAAAATATTTAGACTTTATGTGGCCGTGTACATAAGGATTCACGTCAATACCACAAATATTACATTAATCACATTCTACCTCGATATAGGTAAGCTTCGAAACTTTTCAGGCATGTCTTATGATTGTTTAATGTTACAATTTGTATGCAACAGAATGCTTATGGTGCAATTAATTCCACACTTCTGGTGAGTGATAACACCAACAATGGTTAGAGCACTGTTGAATTTATGTGTAAACTAAGTACGATTTTAATGGTTGTTTTTTCGGAAGTCAAGTAACATTATAAATATCGAAAATGAAATTCGAATAAAACTGACAGTTAGTAACACTATGATATTAGTAATGGTTTCTATCAAAATCAGTCAGAAGGTATTTCAATTTCAAGTACCCTATTATTTCAAGAAATAGATCTGTAATTTTGGATGCAGAAATAGCATTTCGGACCATTTACATAAAACGATTTACTTGAAAATCATTGTCAAGTCACTTAATTTAGTTGAGTACGCACTATAACATTTGGCCCACCTGTTTTATAACTGTTCAGTTATCGTAATAAACCTTGTTGTTTAAGATTTATTTAATCCGAATAATAACTGTATGGCTGACTTACAAACTAGAGCGATTCAATATGCGCCAAATCTCAAGCTGAAACTCTGCACTTGTGATCTTTCTCCCCATGTCTAACCTCTGGCAAAACAAGAAACGTATATACTGACATATCCGACTGAAAAGAGAATAGTTATAGCACCTGAACTAGTCAAAAACCCTCTATACTGGAAATAAGTGACGTTGTACAACTGATCCAGAGACTTCGTCACGGCAACAAAATTTGACATAGTGAATAAAGCTGTAAATTCATTTTTGTATCGCTTGTTTGAATCTCCCCATTGATATTTAGGACAGCGATTGATCAGTCTCTTATTGGAATGTGTTCATCCTGTGCGCATTGCTTCGATATCACTATTAGTAACACACATTATTAGCAGATATGGGTGTGGCTAGCATTGAAATCCAGGACGCTCGTTTCATCTTATTTCGGAGTCGTCATCTGGATGAATCTGCATCCCAAAATTGATGTACACTCCAAGACTCGATCTCAGTACCAGTCGCTTCCAGCACCATCGCGTTATCCACTTAGATATTAGAACAATTCATGTGTTTTGGACTCAACTGCTAGTCATAATTCATCTCTGAATGAAGCTATTGTAATCATTACTATCATCGTGCGCATGGAGATATGCTTAACTTGAATATGTTTCTAAATATGTGTTTCATGTGAGGTTGCATTTGGTCATGGATTGTCAAACTTGGAAACTCTAGAAAGCACTGAAAAACTACCAGTTCTTAAAAACAAGACCACTCATTATTGTATATTGACTTGGTGTTAAGGACTGGACATAGGATATTTAGGTGTGTAATCTTTATACAAAATTAGAATTTAGGTCAAATAGTTCCATTATTTACAAATATATCGTGTTGATTTCTCTTTTTATAATCTTTCAGGCTGATAGGTGCTTTGTCAAATAATGAAGAATTTGCTAAAGCATATCACTGTCCGATTGGTTCACCAATGAATCCTTTGAAGAAATGTAAATTGTGGTAAGACTATCAAAAGTCAGTAATCAACAGTATGATTGAAAAGGAATTAGTGTATGTGTATTTTCTTCACTGTTTCTAAAGAATGTAGAATAATCATAAATATTGTAGCTTTTCGTAGATTATTGATGAGAAATATAATACTTAAACGAAAACTGACTTGCTTCTGCCTAATTGTATAGATTTGCCCAAATATATCAGGAAATCTAATTGCAAAATATGCCGTCTGCTAACAAACAATATTGATCAAAATGCTTATGAGACTATGATTTATGGGCAACCTTTGAGCAACGCTAAAGTGATCTTGGGAATGTCCACCTACTTACTAGGGCTAAATGAGAGTTATAAAGCAGTCAGAGGAATTGGAATTATGATTTATAGTTGATGGTTAGGGTTAGGAATTAGATTTACGGTTTGCATTACGAACTGACATCAGCTAAAATACCAAGACGCCATTTAGATAAATGGGCGAATGAATTTCGCGCCAAAATATGAGACGTGTTATCCTAAATCTGACTGGTTCGTCCATAAGTCATGGTTCCACCCAAATGTTTTCATTTTGTCATGTTAAGAATACAACACCAGAAACTATTGCATTTGATAGTAATACCTCTGTTAAATCTGTCGAAGGGTCTACTTGCACAATTGAGTTACGCGCGAAAACAAAGCTCATAAAACAGCGATTTGTCTAGAAAGAGGTCCATTATTGATGAACAGACATGCATTAGTTACAAAACTCAACTCATGTGATATCTATGGGGCTCATAACGTCTGTAAGTCTGAAAAAGGCTCCTTGTATTAATAACAAAGAATGATTATGACATACAATAGTGCAAATGACAGCTGAGAGCTGTGTCTTATCTTGATAACAGTTTATCAACAAGCGAACACGGAACTAAGAGCAAACAAATATGGTCTAGCTTAAATCAACTCATCAATTCAACCATTAAAATATGGAAACCACTGCGTTTAAGCAAAGATTAAACGACCATACAAAACTGAGAACAACTGTTATCGGGACTGAGAGAAATTAATTATAATGGTGAACACAAATAATGTTACAAGTATATGTAAATATTTTAGAACATTACGTGATAAACTGGACTACAACATGGGTATACAAATTACTAAGAATACATTATTCACTGAATATTATTAGTTAGAATAAAACGAAACACACACAAAAAAGGCGAGAATAAGGACAGAGAACGTAAAATAAACATAACAACCTTTATGATTATGAGAGCCTTCTATTGAGGTCTTGTTATAAATGTAATTAGAATATCCTAGTGTAATGCGAAGATTTGTAAAGATTAACAGATTGGATAAACAAACTTCATAATACTAACCCATTTTTGATTATTTCAGATGTCAGGTCATCATCTAAGTTAGTATAAATTTGTCGAAAATCGCAATACCAGCGGCTTCGTCGAATGCTTATACATGCTTTTGTCATAGATGTTCCCCTCTGTAGGAAATGCTTCGACGATCATTTTAAATTACAAGTAGAATATATGACAACCCGAGTAAACCTTTAAAACGACAGAGTTCACAGTAAGTGTATTCAAATTTAAAGGCTGTATCATTCACGTCTAGAACCATGTAGTAAAACTCCTACGAAATCCAGAATAGTGACATAAATAATAGTTAAGTAAGGATTAGCACAAAAAGCTTAAGACTGATCGGATTACGTACTCTGAGTTGCTTCGGTATAACGTGTTAGAGTATCTTCAGATGAACTTATTTCAATAATTGTCTGAATGAATAAATATAAGCAACATTGCTTTGCGACGTTTAATAACTAATTGCTGTACGTATAGAGAAAGATGAAGAGGACCGCCAATTTACGTGAAGAATAATGAGAATTAAATGTATGAAATTAATCAACATATGAGAAGCATAAAATACAATTATATTTACAAAAGTAATATGACCTAACATTCACATTACCAACAACTTAACATATTACAAGTCTATAAATATTTGCTTTCTAAAATATTCATTGTCAAGATGAACCGAAAGAAAGTGAAGTCAGCTTCCGACCGTCTGTGATGTTATTCACCTTTCTGTACCATTTATATGTTAATGCTGGGAGCAGTTACAACTATTATATGCAGACCACTATGTATGTTCAAAGGTAATAGACGAAATACTGAGTGAATTCGAAAGGATCCCTGACTGTATTTCGGTTGAATTGTATCTTTAGGAAGAGAACTTTCTTACCAAAAGCCTATGTTACTATCTTTCTGTCCACTATGTGCATGTATTGATTCAGAAAGCTTTGATCCTGGTACATCTTACTCAATAGATTACGTATAAAACGTGGTTCTGTTTGTTGTATCGTATCGACATATAGTTATGGCTCTAACTGTGGAGCACGTAACAACGTTTCTCTCGTAACGAATGAACAAGAAGCTGAATAAGAGTGTGTACTGACATTAAGATGAACTTCTTCTATGCATGCTCGTTCTGATAGATCCAGTTTTTCAACAAAAATTTGAGGAATTAAAACTCGTCGACCACCTCCTCCTCACATACAAAAATGGTTGCTGAATTTACGCTGTGAATTGTCCTGTGGGTTCTTTTTATTGCTCACTCCGATGATAATCAGTGTATCATCAACATAACATCTATATTAGTCAATCTTTTCAATAATCTGTTTTCTGGTTTAACGAGAGAACAGATCAGATATAATGAGGAACAGAATTACTATTCCATCAATTTGTCTATAATATGTGTAATTCGGGAAAAAATGAACGTTCACTGTGAACTTTAAAAGTAATTATTTGGAACTCACCTCGACTATTTTAATGTTTTTCAAATGGCTGTCGATATAGAAATCTAACTAACACAGTTAATAACAACAGGTAAACAAGGAAGCAACTTCTAAATGTGTTATATGCTTTACACATAAACTGGGACATTCTACTGTGGAAATGAAATCATGAACTTATTTATCTCTTCTATTAACGATTAAGGAGTGTAGGGTTCCCCGGTTCCGTTTGATCCACTGTGCACTTTCACGGCGTGAAGAATTATACCTATCTAAAAAATGTACGGAGCCACAAGAATCACCATCACAAGGAATGGATCACTGTTGATACACTGGATAAGATTCAAGGAAGGAGGAACAAGAAGGCAGCAATCAATACCAGCCGAACAAGAGCAGAAAAAACAAGGCACAAGCTAAATACACAGAAGTAAACAAACAAGTGAAGAGGAGCATCAGAACCGACAAACGTAGATATGTGGAACATCTAGCAATGACGGCGGAAAAGGCTGCAAGAGAAGGAAACATGAGACAACTGTATGACATAACAAAGAAACTCTCTGGAAATCACCGTAAACCAGAACGACCAGTGAAAAGCAAGGAAGGCAAGGTAATCACCAACATTGAAGAACAACAAAACAGGTGGGTAGAACAATTCAAAAAACTCTTGAATCGACCAGCCTCACTGAACCCATCCGATATCAAAGCAGCACCCACGGACCTCCCAATCAATGTTGGCCCACCAACAATTGAAGAAATCAGCATGGCCATCAGACAAATTGAGAGTGGCAAAGCAGCAGGGCCAGACAACATTCCAGCGGAGACACTGAAAGCAGACGTAGGGGCAACTGCAAGGATACTCCACATTCTCTTCAATAAGATTTGGGATAAGGAACAATTACCAAAAGACTGGAAAGAAGGACTTCTGGTCAAAATACCAAAGAAAGGCGATCTCAGCAACTGTGATAACTACAGGGGCATCACCCTTCTCTCAATACCAGGAAAAGTCTTCAACAGGGTATTGTTAAACAGAATGAAGGACTCCATAGACGCGAAACTTCGTGACCAACAGGCAGGATTCCGTAAGGATCGATTGTGTACAGACCGAATCGCAACTCTACGGATCATTGTGGAACAATCAATTGAATGAAACTCATCACTCTACATCAACTTCATTGACTATGAAAAAGCATGTAATAGCGTGGACAGAACAGCACTATGAAAGCTTCTTCGACACTACGGCGTACCTCAGAATATAGTCAATATCATACAGAATTTCTATGATGGATTACACTGCATAATCATGCATGGAGGACAGTTGACAAAGTCGTTCGAAGTAAAGACCGGTGTCAGTCAAGGTTGCTTACTCTCATCCTTCCTCTTCCTCCTGGTGATCGACTGGATCATGAAGACATCAATATCTGAAGGGAAACGCGGGATACAGTGGACATCTAGGATGCAGCTGGACGATCTAGCTTTCGCAGATGATCTGGCCCTCATATCGCAATCGCAACAACAAATGCAGGAGAAAACGACCAGTGTAGCAGCAGCCTCAGCAGCAGTAGGTCTCAATATACACAAAGGGAAAAGCAGGATTCTCCGATACAACACAGCATGCACCAACCCAATCACCATTGACGGAGAAGAGTTGGATGATGTAAAAACCTTTACATATTTGGGCAACATCATCGATGAACAGGGTGGATCTGATGCAGATGTGAAGGCGCGTGTCGGAAATGCATGAGCAGCATATTTACAATTGAAGAGCATCTGGAACTCAAAACAACTGTCAACCAACACCAAAGTCAGGATTTTCAATACAAATGTCAAGTCAGTTCTACTGTATGGGGCAGAAACCTGGAGAACTACAAAAGCCATCATCCAGAAACTACAGATGTTTATTAACAATTGTCTACGCAAAATACTTCGGATCCGTTGGCCGGACACTATTAGCAACAACCCACTGTTGGAGAGAACAAACCAGATCCCAGAGGAGGAAGAAATCAGGAAGGAGCGTTGGAAGTGGATAGGACACACATTGAGGAAAGCACCCAACTGCGTCACAAGACAAGCCCTCACATGGAATCTTCAAGGCCAAAGGAAAAGAGGAAGACCAAAGAACACATTACTCCGGGAAATGGAAATGGACATGAGAAAAATGAACAAGAATTGGATGAAACTGGAAAAGAAGGCCCAGGACAGAGTGGGTTGGAGAATGCTGGTCGGCAGCTCATGCT